AATAAAATTTAATTTAATTTGATTAGTTTTAAATAATAAAGATTAAGGAATTTATGGCAAAAATAGGAATTTATTACGAATTTAAGGAGTTATTTGACTAAATACTGATTTTATTTGGACCCAAAAAAAGATTAAGGATTAATGGCAAGAACTAGAATTTCTTTTTAAAAGGCCTTTCCTTTATCGAGACTTAAGCATTTAGCAATCACTTAAAAAAAGAGGTAGTGAAAATGTCAATTTTTGACTTTATAATATCTGTTAAATTAAAATAAAAATTATAATATTTGCCTTTTTAAATAGGAATTTTTCAAGAATATCTCCTCGACGCGAACCGGTTAGTAAAACAAAAAGGCAAAGGGAAGGCTGATGACAAAGTCTCTGGTTCAGCTTTGATGTTCACAAGGACAAAAGGAAAACAATGCAGAATGAAGGGAGCAAAAAAAATAACTATTGAAACAAAAACAGTTTTTTTTACCAAAAGACACAATAAATTGCAATTTATATCAAAAGTTGTATTCATCATCATCCCAAGCTAAAAATTATGCAGTATCTGTGAAGCGCAATCCTTGTAAACAAAAAGTACACAAATCTTTGTTAGTTATCTACTAGGCTTTTCAAATACATCTCGTCGGAATGAAAGAACAAAAGTAATTTCGGTTGCAGAGCCTACATTTTGTTGTACGCCTAAATTAAGGGCACAGTCGCTTGAAGACCAATATTTTAGACTGGATTGTTAGTTGGATTTAATAACTTTATTAGGTAGGAATCAAATATTAGAAGGTTAAGGGTTTATTTAAATATAATATTGAAAAGATTATTGTATCCGTCGCAAAGTATCTAATAAAGAGAAGGAAGCATGATCATGATCACAAGCAGGACCACTCATTAAAAAACTTTGAGCAAATAATGCATTTTGCATACCTCCCTTTCTGTCACATTCATTTAGCTTAGTAACGGGTATTTGATAGTCGAGGCACCCGACTAAAGTACTCTCTCTTTTTAAATTGTTTTTGTGATAGGACTCTTATCGTACTGCCTAAATAATGTAACCCATTTGTGATTGAAAGGTACAATAAATAACCTATTTATTTCTTGGCAATTAAAATCTTTTCTGTTCATTAAATATGAAATATTCTTTTACTCTACTTTGACAAGCAAATCATAGATCTGAATAAAGCCCATTGTGACTTCCGACCAGCAGACATAAATTAACTTCACCATTGCGTTTTCCGCTGGTCAAATTGGGCGAAGAATTTTAATGGATCTCCAATGCACTGTGAGTCCCATGTCCAGTTGATCTACAGTGGATCCCCTGGACGGCGAGATGGAGATTCGTGCGACTGAGTGCAGCCGGATGGATGCAGGAAAAGAAAAGAGTGGTCAGTCTCAGTCCTCCGTTCAGTTCGCGACTTAATCTGGCGCGATCGTTTTCCATCAAAGGGTTCCTGCTCACATGCAACTAATCTGATTGTAATTGATGCATGCTAGAGAACGTGAATGCGAATGCGAATACGAGTTTCAAGGAGGCTGAACACGCAAAATGCAGAAGGTTCGCTTCGATCTCGTAAAGGCGGCCAAGTAACTTGGTAGCCAATTATTCAAACGCGAGGATAAGAAAGCAAATAAATTGACTTTAACCTACATGGGCTTTAGGCGGGAATCAAAAATGCATATGGTTTTTTTTTGCCCATCCTCCTGCTGCTGTAAAGGCGAAAATATATATTATATTATCTTTACATTAACCGGGGGCCTGTTCCTCAAAATATGTCGAATGAGATCCGCATTAAGCTCACGCAAATTCCTCGCCATTTTGATGAACCCCAAAAGTCCAAGCCCAAAAGCGAACCATCCGCCACCGGTGCGGATGTGGTATCGATATTGGCAGCTCCATCCTTTATTTCGTTGGGTAATTTCAGAGCCGTTTCAATTGTCAATCATATGCTTGCCGAATGTCAGTCATCATGAGTTCCATTTTGGGCTCTCGAGTACATTGAACTTTAGGTACCTTGTAAGTATTGTGTTTAAAACATATATTCTTCCAAGTTGTTTCTTAAATTGTATACCTAAACTATGCACGTTTAAAAAAAAATTCAAAATAATTTCATTCGATTTTTTTGTAAATGAAAAACAAATGTCTTAAAAAATCTATACCTTTTTTTATAAGTCAGTTTATAGAACATAAATATTACAATTAAAAATCTAGTACTAATATCCGATGTATAATGGGGAAATGTAAACTTATGAACTAATAATAAAAGTGATCTAATATCTTAATTACATGAACTTTGATAAACTACAGAAAATTTGTCTAAATACTTCATATAACTTAGGAGTAAATTAGATATATATTTTGATATATCACAATCAAAACTCAACTATTATAATGTTTACTAAATTTTTAACTAGGAATACAAGTGAGTATACAATAACTGTCTTATCTATTACCTTTGAAACTAAAACCATTATTATAAAGTGATGCCCAAAGTTCATTCTACCTCCTGAAGCGACCATACATCCCTGGGTATTTTTGCATAGCCACTTATTTTGGGCACTTGTGTGTTACCCCCTCGTTTTGCTATAGTACCGCGATCGGTTCGGTTCGTTTCGGTTCCGATCGTGCGGGTTACGAGGCGACACAATATTGACAGCGGCTGGATCCGTCGATATGCCCAGGGGATTGGTTTTAAGTAATTTAATCCTCGCCCAGAACCAGAATGCCACAAAGATGTCCACAAAACGCTGGCGCAGAATACAACGCCACACATGCAATGCGAAATGCGAAAATGCGAAATGCTGACCAAAATGCGAAACATGCATACAGATCACGGCTGGCAGGCCGGATGGTCGACATGGATACATGGATAGGTGGATTGGTGGATTGGTGGCTTGGTGGCTTGGTGGATTGGTGGATTGGTGGACTGGCGGACTGGTGGCTACGTGGTGGATGCCGATCCGATGCCGATGCCTGGGAGCACTGTCAGTCGCCTAATCATCGTAATAATTCGCCTCAACTTCAGCCGATGGCAGCGGCAATGGGAAGCCAAGCGGAAATTACCAACACGCGATATTTAATTTTTCCAAAAGGCGAACCAATAATTCGTCTTCATGCCGCTGCCGTGGCGGTTGCTGTTTTGCCGTTTCAGTTTCTGTTGTTGTTTCTGATGCTGCTCCTGCTCCTGGTGATGGTGCCACTTTTTCGTGTTCGGCTTGACCGATGCCTCTGAAAAGGCCTTCCAAGCCGTCGCCACGGAAGGGAAGAGGGACAGGAGACTCATTAACGCATAGCCCTGATGGCAGGACTCCAACTCGGAATGCTGACCTCCATCCACGCCACTAACAATGATCGCAGCCACCGGAGAGGTGGCTTCCCTTCACAGTTCTTAAATACCCGTCATTGATAGGTTTTATTGAACCTCACAATTTCCCTTATTATATATTTAAATACCAAATAAAAAAAACAATTAAAAATATTCGAAAAGAAAAAAAACACTAAGTTTTAAAACTGAATTAAATATTCAGTCATTTTTAAAATTATTATTAAATTATTTGTTGGCCAAAGATTAGATCTATCATACGTTCTTCCATGCGATACTGGAACTGTTTAATAATTATTTCAAAGTAAACCAACTTACCTTTCAATTGCAGTGTAATTATTTACTAAGTATTGAATTTTTTATTCAAATTTCTATAATAAATATGTTTATTTAAATGTCTTGAAAAACACAATTAATTTGTTTTTTTTTTGAAAATGGTTAATAAGCAGCTATGATGAGCCGACACTTTGTCACTTATAGGTTCTTTTCGTTTTGCTTGAAATCAAAATAATAATTTATAAAAGTTTAAACACTGTTTTTTAATGTTAAGCGAAATGAAAGGTATTATTATTTTCTGATCAGTAGTAAAAGTTTTGAAAATGTATCCAAGTTAGTGTTTAGTTCTGTATCTTTCTTAGAAATAAATTAATAACCAAGAAAAAAAAGCAATTTATCTGAAGTAAATTTGATTAAATTAAATTAAATTTGATTGCCACATAATGGCCACTTTCAATAAAGCTATGAGTGTTTTTGGGTTTATAAAGCGTTGGTCAAAGGAATTTGATGACCCTTATACAACCAGATTATTATTTACCTCCCTTGTCCGTCCCATTTTGGAATATTGTTCTTCAGTTTGGAGTCCACAATATCAAGTGCACATCGATCGTATTGAGTCGGTGCAAAAAAAATTTCTTCTTTTTGCCCTTCGTAGTTTGAACTGGGATCAAAACGTAAGGCTACCTTCCTACCAGAGTAGATTACTATTGCTTAATTTACCTACACTTGAAAACCGTAGAATAATGCTTGGTACTATTTTTATGCAAAATCTTATAAGAGGTGATATTGATTCCGTAGAACTGGTAAACCGTTTAACTTTTAATGTTCCCGTTAGACTAACACGAAATTATTACCCTCTTAATTTGCCTCGATGTACATCAAATTTTACTCTGCATGAGCCTTTTCGTGTTCTATGTAAAAATTATAACAATCTTTATCATTTAATTTGCACTTCAACATCTATCCCCGTATTAAAAACTAAAATTTTATCTCATTTGCTTCAATCTTAGTTGTAGTATTTGTAGTATTTGGTTTCATGTCTTTTCCTCGCGAACTCGCATTTTTGCCCTAATTGATAAAGGGTCCCGCGCGTAACAAGCACGTGCTTGGTATCGTTGGGCCACTTGTTTGTACTGCTCGTAGTGCATCAACGTCCATCATATAAAAAAAAAAAAAAAAAAAAAAAAAAATTATTGAGTAAATCCCAAACGACTTAAAATAAAATTTTAATAAATTTTCAAATTATATTTTGTTTAAAAAGACCCAATCGGTTCAACGATTTCCGATTTTTCCAGAAACTCTTTTTCCTCTGCTTTTACGCTATAGCAAATTGCCCCATTGCAAAGCGTTGCAATTAAATTCCCATTAATTAAATAATCGCTTTCATTTTAATCTTGAGAGATTCACACTTTAATTTTATTTCTGTTTTGTTAATAAATATTTATTCGTTTCATTAGTAATTAGTTTATATGCTTATTAAGAGTTACGGAGATTACAGCAGTACGAAAACAAATCGATTGGAGTGGCTGACGAACGGGCCAAATAATTAAGCTACTTAACACAATTAGTATCTGTTATTATAAGTGTAGATGAATTGAATTTGGTTTTCAAACAAGAGTCACACAGTCGATATTTCTAGTTAACACTAGGCTCTATATATAGTATGCTGATCTATTAATACCTGTTGCATTGATATTAATACATTAATTGATAAGTACAAATGGCATTTGCGTTGCGAAATGATTCGTGTTTCATAAATACTTAAGGTGGCTATTAACAATTAAAAATGGAGGTATTTACACTATGAACTAGAAATTAGCAGCTAGAACTAGAACTAGAAGGGGTGTCTACTGTTCGGCATCGCTGGAGCCGATGCTCTTGTCGGGTGTGTGGGATCTGCTGGAGGCCTTGGAGGCGCAGGATCGCACGGACAGATCCTCCGGCTCGCTGTCACAGTAGCTCTCGTTGGAGGCCTCACTGTGGGCCAGGGGACTCAGGCGCTTCATTAGCGCTTCGTTGAAGGGATATGATGTTGAGATGTCCAGATCGGATTCGGATCCCCCATTAACCATCTGGTTGGGATTGGGTGCACTTCCTCCGTTGCCGCCGCCGGGTTGCATGGATGCTGCGGCCGCTGCAAAGGCCAGGAAATTCAGGCTGGCATTGAAGAGTTTGCACCAATCGAGCAGAGCGGCTCCTTGGCCATCGGTGGCTCCTCCACCAGCAGCAGTGGGCGTGGCACCACCGACCGGAGGAGTGACTGGTGCTATCACAGGCGCTAGATCCGCGGGATTCGGGAAGGGAGCTGGCAGTAAGGGCAGTGGTGTAGTTTCCGGGAACATAGGAGTCTTGTCCTCCACCGCATTGTTGTTCTTATCGTTGACTGGCTCCGGCTGATTCACCCGCTTGGCCGGATCTTTGGCCCAGTTCTTGACACTCAGCAGGGGATAGTTGTTGCTTTTGCTGTAATCCTCGGAATCAACCAATTTGTTGTTTTCCTCCTTTGTGATGGAAGGTGCTTGTCCAGCTTCCACTGGCAGAACTTCGGCAGTCTGAGGGGCTAGTTTGGAGTTGAGCAAGGCCAGCAGATTCAGCTGGTGCAGCATATTATTGGAGTAATCCATCACTCCAGGCTGACTGGGATGCACTGCCTCCGGATGCAGGCCGCCTGTCTTTTTCACGAACTCCACCAGGCTCAGTTTCTCGAGGAGGGAATCGCCTCCCTGCACCGGATAATCTGAGGGGGAATAGGGCAAAGCTCCGAAGCCCAGCTCCTCATAGTTCGGCGGCAGGGCCACAAACTTTGGCGGCAACTGGAGCTGCAGCTCGAACTTGGCCCGCTTCTCGGGCGGCGTATCGAGTCCCAGGTGATGATCGGGACCCAGCTGGCGGCACATGAAGCGCAGCTTCTGCTCGTTCTTGCACCAGCCGCGCAGCGTGGACTCCGGCACTCCGATGTCCCGCGAAACACTGGCCTTCGTCTCGCCATTGTGGATGCGCTGTATGGCGCGCACCTTATCGTTGGGCGTGAGATTCCTCAGCGGTCGCTTGCCGCGGGTGCTCATCCGGATGTTCATGTGCTGGTAGGCGGAGATATCCATGGTTGATTGACTGGCGATTGAAAGCGCGGACTTTAGCGGATTGCGATTGCGGATGCGACTGCGAATGCGAATGCGAATGCGAATGCGACCACCGGTGTGCACTCCTCGAACTCGCAGAAGGATGTGATTGTGAATCCGAAAGATACGAAATCCGCGAAAGGCGAAAAGCGAACGCCGAGATGAGCCGATGATTTTGCGGCGAAGAGAACGGCGGCCTGCGGATTCGACCAATGGAGAACGAGAGGCGCCACTCTCTACTCTCTCTTTCGCTTACCCCACCACCACCAGCAGCGCAACAACTTGTTACTCATGTCCCGCTCGCGCCTGCTCTCTCTCTTGCAAAACGCTGCGCTCTCTGCGGGATGTCCTGGCTCAAGGCGACTCTCTTAACGGGACAGAGAGCAGCCTGGTTTGGTTATCCCCCTCCCCCTTCTCCTCGCGGATGTGGTGTGGATGCACATTTCCAAATTGTCTCCTGCACGTGGCCATGTGTGTGCGTGTGTGTGTTTGGGCTCCTGTGTTTATATAAAAACCAGTTATTTACCTCCCATAAACATTCTCCGCTGCGAGAGTGTGTTTGTTTCTCACATCCGCATGTGCGTGAGCGGATCTGATACGGACGTGGACCTGGTTGCACTTTTGGGTCGCGAATCTTCCAAGAATAACAGAAATTCACTCCGCACTATTTGCACTGTCCATCTGTGTATTTGCACTAATTTCGTTAGTACTTTTTGCAATTTATTTATGAGCAATGTTTTTATTGCACCCACTTTCAACCCTTTGTTATGCATCGTATGAAACTCTAATAAAACTCTAATAATAAACAAAAAACAGGACGAAAGTAACAAATTTTTTATGATCCTTAAAATAGGCAAAATGTATGATTTGACTATTTTTTTTTTGCCGAATATAAAGTTTCCTTGTTTGATACCCTTTCATAGCGTGGTTTCAATCGTCGTTCAGACAAGACAAATCTTACAGCTAAAAGATCGAATGTTTTGGCCAGCTAACAACATAAGCTAACGATCCCCATAAAAGTTTTGAGGTACATATAACAACCAATCGATAGCAGATTAAATTACGAGCTAATTGGGATAAGACGTTCCGAAATTGCACCATATTTTGCTGCTCAGGAATCCCAAGAATCTTTTTGCAAACAGCATATAGTTTATAGTTACATAGTTCCACAGATTTCTTATGTATTTAAATTAAAATAATAAATATTAGAATACCTTTTTTTTATAAAAAATGTTCATAAAACTTACTGGAATTCATCTTTTACTATATCATTTAGAAAAAAGTCAAGGCGATGTTAATCTTCTATAAATACCAATCTTTTTTATTTTTTTTGTATGTTCAATTTTCATTTTCTTTTCGTAAAAGCGATCAACACACATTTGACTGACTACTAATCTTTTGACCGCAACTGTATGCTTAACGAATACATCGAAAGGTTATAACACAAATAAGCTGGTAGCACGATTCCAGTATTATATCTTTATTAGTTTAAGTTGTCACTGTACTAAATTATGCACTTCTTAGATTTTCCGGCGCTTAGCGTTATGTTTATTATTGATGCGTCTGCGTGTTTAGCTTATTTTCCAATTGAAAAACTAATAAAAGCTTTCAGCTTCAGATGAAAAGTGCAACACAGCTGTCGGCCAAGAAGAAGAATTTGAATAAAAGCTTTTCCCAGATGAATAAAACATAAATTATCATAAAAGAAGAGCAACACATCTCAAAAAAACGAATTTGAAGCAAGAGGTGTGTAATTAATAAATTAAGTGGTACGTATGTATATGTTCTAGCAAGGCGATTAGACTCGTACATTTATCCCGATCTGTGTATTCAAACTTAAGAAATTAAAAAAGGTCGTAAAAAAATCCACAAAGTTTCTAATTTCGGATATACGTGCCTAATCATTGCCTACTTTTTGGCGCACAGAACTGGAAATACTATGAGCAGAATAATGATAATAAAACTGTTCAATCTAAGATTCTTATCCTTAAATACGTTTACCTTTTTTACTTACCACTTTAAATGTGTCAAAGAAAAAATTACACATTTTGTTTTTTTTTAATACTTTTTTTATTGTGTTATTAAAAGACACATTTTAGAAAGTAAGTAGCCTTTAGTATTTATGTTTGATTTACACATATTTAAATAAATTTTCTATTAACTATAATTTATTAGATTACACCTACATGTATTGATTAATTTCCGTGTTGCTGTATATTATAACTATATCATTATTTATTATTAAACAATTTATATTTCTCTTTTATTTGTCACAAAAAGTACTTTTAAACAAAATAAAAATTAACTGCAAATTATGGCAAAATATCAAGAAATAAAAGCAAAGCGGATTAAGTTGCAACCATCTAAGCTACGTGGACTAAACATATAATATAAATAAATAAAATACCGCTTTAAAAACAGATATCCGACACAAAAAAAAAAGGTTTAATTTTAAGCCAAATAATTGTGCAATTTAAACACGAAAATCAAATTGCTGGAATTTTACAAGTACTTTAAGCTGTATAAATATGAGGAAACGGTATTTATTTTAAGTCTCAATTTATACATACATACAAATTTAAATATATACATAACCTATGTTGGCAGTTAGCCCTTACATTTTGTACATACACTTTATTGTTATTATATACATAATTTGTTTCAGTCGAAGGCTTATTAAACTAATTCTGAACGCATACGTCAAATGCACATACCCATATATGTTAATATCTTAATATATACTACATGCCTTACCTTAAAGGTAAATAAAAAGAGATAACTATTCGGGGGCATTATTTGGTAATTACTTGTATTAATTGTGAACAATTGAATTTGAACAGTTATGAATGTGCAATAAAACTAAACAGTTTTGTACCTTTAAACAATACAACATGAACAAATATGCAGGTCTTGAGCAATAAATTAATTATTGGATGGGTGTGGATTTAATGGAATAAACATAATTGGTAATACTATTAAAATCTTTAACTTATTGTACTTGCGTTTCGGTTAAATTTAAAAATTATTAAATGAATTTAAATGCATTATAAAGATGACTGTGAATATGTGGATTCCGTTTGCTAAAAATTTACTTGTGAGTATATTTATGGGAATTTATCAACAATCGTGAATATATGCGTGAACCTTTATTTAACACCCCTTAACTTAAATTTATTTTATCGTTAGTAACAAATGTTAATAGCTTATAGATAATGATCCCATTTGCCCAATGCAACGACCTCCCTCCTCATCGAAGGTGGCCAAAGTTAATCGAGACAGCTTATTGCATAAGACTCCATTTCCATTATTTTGAATTGGATTTGGCTCTGAAAAAGAAATTTGAAATGTATTTATTTTTATTTAATCTTCATTATTTAACATCTTACCATCGTGAAAAGGTTCTTGGGTGTTACCCTCTTGTTTTCTGTTTCTTATTTGATCCGTAAAATGTGATATAAGTGCGTCTATCATGGCAGCTTGCTTTGAAAATATTTGCATCAGCTTCGATACTTGTATTCCGTTCTCGACCGCATCGAACTATAACAGAAATAAATCCATATACTTGTTTTCATAACTAGAAATTTCTTAAATACCTGCAAAAATATACAAGTGAGGCATTCGGGATCATCACTTGCACTTGGCTTTGCGTAATCCCAAGACAAATCCTCGTAACGCAATCCCAGCATCAGAGTCTATAGCAAAAATGTGGTAATATCGTTAATAGGGGTTTAAAATATTCGCAAAATATTAATTAAACTTACACATTCGTACGGATCTATTATAAAAACTCCCTTTTCATTGACTGCGACCAGAACCTCCATATCCTTTTGGTTGACCAATGCCATGATTCCCCTAACAGGCTGTTCTATTTGTCCATGGAAGTAGGCGGCACTTTAAGATATTATAGAAAAAACAGATTTTTTAAAAATATAACAATCTAACTTAATATAACAGTTAACCTACCCATAGAACGGTAGAGCCCAGCAAAATTCCAGGTATTTTCTCATCAACTTTCTGGTGGTAGCTGTTTGGGGAACCCGTTTAAACTGCTCCAAAAGCTTAACCTCTGCTGAATTTTTCTGACTTATTGGTAGCCATAACCAAGTAGAACTCTTGGCAACGTGTGGTGGCAAAAACCTAGCTTGATTTTCCCTAAATTATAAAAATAGTTATTAAATATTAGTTTTGTACTGTTAGTCTATAGATTTACCGAAAGAATCCTATTGTATGGGTGTGGGAATTGTAGGGACCCAGTTCGATTCGTGCCTGAATGCCGCCCAACATAAGCGAATGCACTGGTTCCATAATATACCTTCCTGTCAGCACATTATTTCTGGCCTCTTCGTAAAGGAGCTCTAAGATTCGATGATCCCTGAAAATAATAATATTTTTCTTTTAATAATTTATTTGGGATTTTGTTTAATATATTGACAGCGTACTTAATTTTCTCTTCGTCTCGTTTCGAAAAGAAAACGTTTCGCTTCAAAACGATCATGGGTTCGTCAAACTTCCGATCACTGGGACTGCTATTGCTGAACTTCTGTAGCAAATTGGGCCACGCGACTCGCACGATATAGGGGCAGTGATGGGCCTTCAGCTGCATTTCCAGCAAAGCACTTGTCATCCACAATCCGAAGACACTCTGTGCCAGCAATTTGTTGGATATCCCCAGTTCCTCGCATCCCAGCGCAGCTGCCAACATCACCTGCGATGGACACTGGGCCGTGCCCTCGATCTCCATGTGAACCGCCACCCGGGACATAAGATATACGCATGTGGGGATTACCTAAAGTAAAAGTTACACTTGAAATATAATGATAATTTAGTATTAGTTTGAATATTACGTTTTGGAGAGCACGGGTTAGATTGGCAGCGGCTTTGCCAGCATTTGCAAAATTCGAAGTTGAGCTGGTCGCCATTAGGCGTTTCTGGATTGCAGGATTGGATTGGGCATCGTTGCCATTGTTGCATTTGTGGTGTTGTGGCATAAACGAGGAATTGGTGAGCACTCCTAAAAGGATTATACAAAAGGATATTAATGTTGGGAATATTTGATTAAATTAAATTAAATTAAATTCACAAAAAATGTAAAATCATTTTCATTTCTACAATCCTAACTTAAAACAAGAGAGAACGCTATAGTCGGGTGCCCCGACTATCAGATACCCGTTACTCAGCTAAAGGGAATGCGAAGGAGATGGAGATAAAAGCTTTGATCCGCCGTAACTTTTTAACGAATGGTCCGATTTAAAAAATTTCTTCTACATTTCGATAGGTATTGATAAACACAACAAAACTGCATTTTTACTTTTCCAAAATATTGAAATTTTTAAAATCGTATATAAGCGATTGTGGGTGTTAGAGGGGGCGTGGCACCCTTTTGAAACAAACTTGCGCTGCGTAGGAACTCCTAAAATCTGCATGCAAAATGTCAATCTTCTAGCTTTTATAGTTTCCGAGATCTCAGCGTTCATACAGACAGACAGACAGACAGACAGACAGACAGACAGACAGACGGACAGACAGACGGACAGACGGACATGGCTAGATCGACTCGGCTAGTGATCCTGATCAAGAATATATATAGTTTATAGGGTCGGAAACGCTTCCTTCTACCTGTTACATACTTTTGCACGAATCTAATATACCCTTTTACTCTACGAGTAACGGGTATAAATATCAAGTAGTATATTATTATAGAAAAGATACTAGTACTAAAAGTGTTTAGACTTTAAAGTCCCAAAAAAATTCAGACAAATATTGATTATTACAATAGTAACTAAATAATCTCAAGTAGCTTTATTAATATTATAATATTTTTATACAAAAGGATGTTAGTACTAGGAATATTTAAAATTTCTTCTGTTTCCATTTTAAAATTGCAAAAAATTAAATAATAATATTATTTGAATTTTACCTAAATATATTCAGTATATATACTATTTTGAAGCACTTTAAAATCTCTTTACGTTTAAAGAAAATGTTTGTAAATCAATGATTTTTCTAACAAACATTAATATTTTAAGTATGATATATTCAATTTTGGACCCCTTTTAAAAGTTGGCGATTTTAATCTTAAATTAACTTTTTCAACTGAATTGGAGAAATGGGAAAATGGATATCAAGCTAATGATCTCTTACCAGATGGACTCCTCAGGTCGGAAAGGGGACAAAGTGCACTTGCGTTGTTCATCATGTTGGCGCCCATGTCGGAGAGTCCTCCCAGGCACTGGGCATTACCGGAGGCGGCCATGGCGGAGGACACCTGTGCCGGCGACAGGCAGTCGCCCTCGTTCTGGCCGGTGCTGACCACACTGGAGACACTGGCCGAGGAGGCGAAGGTGCTGCCCACCGCCGTTTGGATCTGGGCGGTGGTCACCACCCGATGCACGGTGTACATGATCGGGGGAACGGGCATATTCACCGATCCCATAGAGACAGGCACCTGCTGGTCGCCACACGTGACCACACTGGAGCTATTCTGATGCGTTTGGGTGGCGGCCACACGTCCTCCACCATTGCTGCTGGCGCCTCCGGCGCTCGGGAAGATCGCACAGTTGTCGAAGGCATCTGGTGGATCGGCCACCGAGCTCTGTAATTGGGGTAACTGATGGATTGGTTCTGGGTGGCTCAGCTGGTGGTTGTGCTGCAGCGACTGTTGGATGTGGAGAAAGTTGGCCTGTTGCTGCTGGTGGTGCAGATGTTGCTGGTGTTGCTGATGCTGCTGGTGTTGCTGATGTTGCTGGTGTTGTTGTTGCTGCTGCTGCTGCTGGTGTTGTTGCTGTTGTTGGTGCTGATGTTGCTGCTGGTGCATGTGCTGCTGCTGTTGCGGTTGGTGAGCTTGGTGCTGCGGTATTGCTGCTGCGGCATTATTGGCTAAATAGTAATCATCGCGACACTTGACATCCGTGGTGTTGTAATATAAATGCGATCTGGAAAATATATATATTTTTATTAATTTAAAAAGGAATATCTTTGTAAACATTATTGCTTCCAACTCACTCGTAGTCTTGAGTAGTTAGCTTCTTTCGATTATACTGCAAAGTTCCCAATGGAACAGTCATTATGTTGATATAGTTCCCAGCATTGGCAGTATTCTTGCTGCATTGCCCACTGTTGCTGCAGACGGATCCTCCATACGGACTTCCCATGTTGCCGCCTCCGCCGAGCGACTTATTGTTCCCATTGCGCGGCACCAGATCCTTGGAGTTGTACCCCGTTTGCGGTTGGCCGGAGCTACATGTCACATAGTCCTGGCCCACATTCATGTTCATCCCATAGTTGAGTTTATTCGTCGAATGTTGCGGAATGGAAGTCGAGGAGTTCTGCTGCATGGCGCTCCGGCAGTAATAATGATTTGGCTCCATGTTCTTGAAGTGCAACAAAATATTAATAAATAAATATTATAAGACAAAAATGCATAAAATATGGCTATCCTAATAAATTTATCAACATTATTACATTTTTAAACGTTTAAAAATATTTCTTAAATAACAAAATGTATTCTAATTTAAATATTTTTTTTTACAAGATCGTTTTTAAATGAAAGCTTATATTTTTATTGTTTACTTACCGTTTTTTACGTACAACTGCTGCTAACAAATATGATTAACTACTGTCAACGCCTTTTTGGGGTTCGCTTGAGCAATCAGGATAGCCCTCATTTTATCTGGCAGTTGTGGATAATTCACAAAACTCCATCATTAAAAAACCATTATTAGCTCTCGATTTGCATTTCTTAAAATAAAATAGACATTTAAAAATATTTATTTTTTGTTTTTCCTGTAATTAAAATATAAAAAAAATCAAAAGCAGTTTAATATTTTTAGAATTGATGTGGTGAGTTTGTTCAAGCTTTAGTAAACATTTTAAAATTAAAAACTTTTTTAGTAATTAAAAAATATTCAAAACTAACAATTTTATTGTGAAGCAAAATTAACTTTCTGAATCCTGGACCGTTTTGAAGTGAATATTTTGAAACACCAAAATGGTCCTTAGTTCCGACATTTGATTTTTCGAGCAGGTGCAATAGAGGGTATGCTGTATACACACATGTCCGCACATACATACCCACACGAACATCTGTAGGTAAGAATATGCATGGGTACTTTTATGTACTTCATGCTAATTCCAGTGCATGGAAGTATGTCAGCACGGGGTGTATAACTTTAATTTTATAATTGGAGGCACGTAAACACTATATGTTAATTTTGGTTCACATGGCTAAAAAGAAAAAGTCCTCCGTCCTTAATCAATACATGCCTTCATATGTATGCATATACACACGCACACACACTTACAGACACACACGCACATATCCTTCTAACTGGGTGGGACTTTGAAGGCCATAGTTTTTCACCGAACCATCGCCACTCCAATTTAATTTTATTCCCTTCAAAGGGTTTCCTTCGATTTCCGAGCACTCCGAAACTGGTTAAACGTATCTACATCTCTGCAAAAGCCTCGAACGCACTCAAACGGATGGCTTTGAAAAAATGTGTTACACGGACTTCGCTCGAAAGATACATTTTCCGCTGTATTGTCTTTTGTTGCGGGGAGCCCCGTGATTTCGGAAAGCTTCGGACTTCGGATGGCTTTATTTCTTCATTTCTTGTTTGGCCATATTTTTCCACTCAAGCTATATTCATATATCGAACGATGACGGGAAGTTGGCGAAAACTTTTTAGTACACAAAATGCCAAAACAGGCGACTTAGCACCAAAATATCTACTTATACAACACCACTTTTGAACACAGCCAACCGAAGTAAACAAACACATGCAAACTCGGGCTCCATATGAGGCGCATGCGCCCCCAAAATTCCTGCTGAAAATTCGCCCAGCAACAAGACTATCGATAAAAGACGGTTTCAACCGTTAGCAAAATCAATATCTACCGCTTTTTGATAAGGAACCGAAATATAAGCTTTAATCAGCAATCTGTATACATTCTCTTTTATTTAATCAACTTGCATTTCTTTTAAAAGCATTTAAAACACTTCTTATAATTATGGCTCAACATTTTGTATACATTTCATTTATTTATTTATTTGTGATACTTTTGCAGTTGCGGGGCTGATAACTTGACCTTTCCTGGAATATTTCTTGCCATCGACTCTTCCTTTATACTTTTCAGTAAGTCCTTCTCACGAGTATTGCAGCCTTTTTCCTTGGCAAAGATGTTGAGAGCTAGTTTCGCAGCCTTTCCTCTTTTACCCGTTCCTGGGGTGAGCTTTACTTTGAATCTATGAAAAGAAATTAATAAATTAAATAAAAATGTATTTTCAACTTATTAAAAACTTTAAATGAAGAATAGAAATTTTAACAGTCTTTAAAAAACTCTAAAAATATTTAAGTAAATATTAATGATAAACTAGAACATACTTGTAATTTTGCAAAGCCTGATAGGGAGCCACTACTGGAATTGCGAAGAGCAACTCATCTCCCTCGTGGGGTTGTCCAGTCAGACTGTTAAGTATATCCACATCCCCAGCGGCGGGCACATCATCGGCATCATCCAATTCCACGGGGTTTTTGGGAGCTGCACTTTTTTCTTGCTTTACAAACTCTTTTATGGCCACACTCTTCTCCACCACTTTGTCGGCAGTTGCCTGGGGCTTCTCCTTGCCGGAAGATTTCAGAATCATCATACGAATCTCACGCTCCTCATCATCTTGATCCTTGTATTTCTGTTTCATTTTCTTCAGCTTTCCCTTCTGACCTCTCTTGACCTGCGATGGATTTTTGGGCTCAGTGGTTGCAGGAGCGACTTCCTGCTTGGCAGCTTCCTTTGCTCGTGCCTTGTCTTCCTTGGTCTTCTTGGCACTAACTTGCTTTTTCCGACTTGGACCAGCCAAAATAATGGTCGTTTCCTCATCTACTGGTTTACTGGGAAGTTTTTCGACAACTTTTTCTTCTGTCTCTTCAGTCGGCTCGTTCTCTGGATTTAAGGAGTTGGATCTGACTGTTATGCGACCAGTATCGTGTTCAATTTTAACTTCCGTATTGGGAAAAGCAGTGATCTCGGTATTGGAACTTGGTTCCGTTGCATTTGCAGTAGGGTCCTGTTCATTATCTTCTCCTTCGGACAAAAGATCGTGTTCAACTTCGGTTTCTTTGACATTTTGATCTATCTGATCGTCGTCTAAGGTCCTCACTTTACGTTCTCCCAAATGGGCTTCTATAAAACTGTCCTCCAACTTGAAAAGTAAACTTAGACCCATGGTCAAGTGGCAGGAAGGTAGGAAGTTCTTCTTTCCTCTGATCATAAAACTACCAGTTGCCAAATACTCTCCAGTTGGTGCGGTTTTACTGACTTGATCGCTGTTCACCCAATAGGAATTCGTCACCACCTTCGCATCCCAGGCAACACTGTATGATATAGCCATAGATCCAGCTTCCAGCAGCGTTTTTGGAGGTATTTCTTCGCCAGTGGGATTCTGTATAATTACACTCGAGGCACCTTGAATCTCGGCATGCACATAAATGTCTTTCGGACGCATGTATCTGAAATATATTTATTTATGGATTAGATATCTCTATCATTAATTTAAAGCTCTACTAACCTTTTAACGATAAGCTCGTTTTGCTGCGCATCTCTTCCTCCGATAACCAAGTAATTCTCAGAGCTTATAAACCAGTAAAACTTTTCAAACCAGAAGACTTTCCGTGCCTTTACTATATTAGAAATAGTTCTAACTTCCTTGAGCGTTTGCTGTGTTTTGCGCTCCGCAGATTTAAGCGCCTTTTGGGAAGCATCCACCGTTTTCTTTTCCTTCTGAGCAGCCGAACGTTTCATGTCGTAATAGCGACGGGCGTTGGCCCAAGCGGATAGAGCTAAATCGACATCCACAACGGTAACCTCCGGCGTCTTAAGTTCCTCGTCTTCATAGTTATCATAGGGATCGCTGAGTGCAAGCGATATATGATTAGTTTCCAGCTTAAGCTGCTTTATGCAACTGGCTACAGGATCGCCGTTTGCCTGGGCCTCCTTGACCAGCTCATGGATATCCGGCCAGGACAATTGACTGGCGACAGCCGACTGAACGGCCCGAATTGCATTATCCACCAGACTTTGATTGGACGTTATGAGCTCTGCCTTCTTTCTGTCCACATCCTGGACTTTGGTTAACTCCTCTAGACGCTTGGCGTGATCGTTTTTAACATTGGACAGCTTCTTCAATGCCTCACGCTCCTGATGCAGCGTTTTCATGTCAATTTTCTGTGATTCTTGCGTTGAGTAAAATTCATCGGCAGCTTCCATAAAAGACTCAAATGTGGCCTTTTCAAAGTTTTGAAATTGAGCAAAGGGGTAGGGATGAAATTCGATGTTTCTGAAGAAAAATTCCACTTTTCCGCTCTCCGCGGGTTTCTCCTCTTTCACCTGGATAATGTAGCCTTTGGTTTTGCCACTGTTTCCCTCGAGAATAAGATCATGAGCGCACTGGAAGATTGAATAGAGTGATTGTATCATTTCTTGATTAATTATTATTACTAAGTACCAACCTTGACAGCTTTTCTAAGAGTGGGCAGGTCATTAACCATATCGAATGGCTTCTGATCCAGTTTGGCATTCTGCTGCTTCTTACGCTGCTTTTTGCCACCTTTATCGGGCTTTTCCTCCGCTTCGGGATTTTCCTCGGCTCCTTCTTTCTTTATCACGAGATTATCCAAGCCGTGGGATAGAAGGATATGCTCTATAACCGCCGGACCGCAGTCCAGATTGGGCGTCAGGATCTGTCGCAAGTAATCGCCATTCCTGGCATTTTCCAGCAGTTTATCCAGCGCATCCGGCTGCAGTTCGTCCGTGGCCTTTTTGGCCCGTTCCACGGGATATTTCTCGCGCATGGCGAAGCGCAGATTCTCGCCCTCCGTGTGGGGACGCAGGATATATAACGTAGTCAATTCATAATCGGTCAGGATCACATTACCGCGATCGTAGAGCTCCAAGATGACATGATAAGCAGCATCGCCGGTGCCAAACTGAAAGTCCACAATACGATCGCCGCCCAGTTGTTGGATCTTCTCCAGGCGCTTGTTCTTCAGATGCTTCCTCAGCTTCATGCTGAACCCGGATGGTGCCATATTCTTGGGCCATTCGAAGCGGGTGGTGTGGAATCGAGTGCCGGATTCCATCAGCAGGGTGACCTTCTCCACCGCACCGGTTCCCTGCATCCGAAAGAGATAGGTCTTGTTGTCGACGTCATAGATCTGATTCACTCGCCAGCCGACCAGCCTGGAATATAATTTATTGTTATCTCAAAATCTGAATATCCTGTTTACTACATACTTTTGCAGTTCGGCCACTCCGCAGATTATATCAAAAGTATTGAAACGTGTCTTCATGGTTCCAGATCAAAAGTTAACAATGTCAACACGGAAAACGAAAAAAATGGGATTTATCTAACTAGCTAACTTATCATTAAATATTCACAAGTTCGCTATATATAATATATAGGTAAAAACCTTAAAGGAAACGGAATAAAAACAATTTTATTCCCTGGCGAAATTAAATATCGGTGAAATAGTGATGGATAAAGTTTGCATAGAATATATCGATTATTTGCTGATGCATTCCGGTGATTGTGGTTTTTAAAATTTTATATATTTTACCAAGTCGAGAAACAAAATTAATTGGTTTTAAGCTGTTAAATCTTGTTCAATTATTTTAAATAATAATAAAATTGTTTTATGTTTTATTTTAGTCAGCTGTGTTCCATATTCCATTTCGTTCCATTATCGAAACAGGCAATTGCTTTGTCATCTCCAATCTAGCTATTTTTTAGCTTTTTCTAGAGCTGCCTTTCCCCTTTGTCATCTCCAATCTTCATTTGTAAATATGAGTACTGTTGTCAACGTGCACGTGCTGTTCTTTGCCAAATCCCGGGAATTAGCCAATACCAACCGCTCGAAAGTGGATGTGCCCAGCGAAATTACTGCCTCCGAACTGCTGGACCAACTGGTTGCCAGATTTGGCCTGACCTCGATTCGGGACAACCTGATTTTGGCCCACAACGAATCGTACATCGAGAACCTGAGCGAGAGGATTCTGTTCAAGGAGGGCGACGAACTGGCCATCATTCCGCCCCTCAGTGGAGGCTAACGACTGCGCCATGGATCACGTTAAGCTAGTTAATGACCCCATCGACATTGCCCATATCCATCAATTGCTGGCCGACGAAGGCTGCGGAGCTTCATCCGTTTTTGTGGGCACAACGCGCGATAATTTTCAGGGCAAAAAGGTGGGTTTGCTATCTGAATTAGGTAGCCTTATAGATTAATTTGTACTTTTCGACACACAGGTGGTGTCATTGGCGTACGAGGCCTACGATAACATGGCCCTCAAGGAAATGAATAAAATCTGCTCAGATCTTCGATCAAAATGGCCCGAACTAAAGCACATAGTCATATATCATCGATTGGGAACTGTGCCCGTTTGCGAGGCCAGCGTAGTTATAGCCGCCTCATCGCCCCACCGATCCGAGGCCCTAGAATCAGTATCCTATGCAATAGATCAGCTTAAGGCCTTAGTTCCCATTTGGAAGAAGGAAATCTACGAGGGCGATCACAACAGCGAGTGGAAGGAGAACAAGGAGTCCTTCAGGCCCAGTAAGATCCTATAAATAACCAAACATGACATGTATTTCCATTATTTTTGTACACTTGTAAATACAATAAAATTGCAGAGAAATCTTTGGGTGCCTTCAACTACGCAGCTTGCCCCTGCAAAGTCGAGGAGTCACATGACGTTCCGCGTACTCTGGTGCAAATTAGAGTTAATGACGCCGAGTTAGCCAAGCGGCTAGAGTGTTTTGTCAACAGAAAACGCGACGAAATCAACTCACAAAACGTAATTGACTTCAAATCGTCTTTCGTTGAGTCAGACAAAGATTTAAGCGACTCCTGCGCTCGCACGCAGAGCACTATTATAAAGCAGGAGCAGTCGAATTGTCATTTAAAAGGTGGGTAAACAATTCTCAGCTACTCCCAATTAAAGCCACTCTATTCTACAAACATATCATATAGTTCGACGGGTAAACAATCGCTGTGGTCCCCAGCAAATGGAGTTGCGGCCCAATTACGAACTCGAGCTGAATAAACTAATGGGATCGCGTGACGGCCAAAGTGACCCATCCAAGGAAATGAGAAAATCGCTGCCCAATTCCCGTCTACAGGCAATTGAATCGTACATGGGCTTGAGTACCGATAACGAGGAGAACATTTTCAGTAGAATTAAAAAGGTGGAAAATAGAATGCTGCAGCTGGAGTCCATTTCCCCAGAGTATAGACACTTTGTAGGTTTATATTATAGCCATTCCGTTTTAGTTCTATAATTATTCAATGTATATTTATTCCAGACGAATCTGGAGCCGCAATCCATGGAACCCCCGCCGCCCAAAAAGATCAGAAAGAAATCATATTCTGCCCACGAATTAGGCGTGTTCATTGAAAAGCTTAAGAATAAATGATTACTACCATATAATTATTTTTCCTTGGTTTATAAATGAAGTAAATTTATTTCAACATTCCAACTATTTGTAATAGTTATTATAAATGCGTAAATGATGAGAGTGAAAAAATTCAAAAATTTTTTTTTGTTTACAACTAAGGAATATGGATAAGCGTGGCTGATTTGTTTCTGTTTGTTAGTCGTCGGTCGTCAAGCTTCATATATTACGCCCGAAAATCTAAATGGTTATTCGTTAACCGAAAGGAGCAGCTTACTAATTATGTAATACGTGAAATTGTTAAACCTTATTGTTGTTGCTGTTTTGTCAGCTCCTAGCACAGAGTGGGGAATTGAGCTTCATCGTCGACCTTCAGGGGCTTCTGGGCGGAGCGGCGTTTCTCCCCGAATCTGTTGTTGTTGTTCTCCTGTCTGTTTTCATAGCCGTTGCTGGGTCGCGGACCACGGAAGCCCTCGCCACGCGGTCCGTCGTTGCGGAAGCCGCCCTCTCCACGAGGTCCTTCGTTGCGGTAGCCACCCTCTCCACGAGGTCCTTCGTTGCGAGGTCCATCCTGGCGATAGCCACCCTCTCCACGGGGGAAGCCACCTTCTCCACGCGGCCCGTCATTGCGGTAGCCTCCCTCACGCGGTCCACCTGGTCCGCCAGGACGAGGACCCTTGCGGAAACCGCCCTTGCGACCATCATTGAAGTTGAACTGAATGTCCACGATGCGCTGCAGGCGGCCCACTCGCTGGGGATACAGCGAGGGATCGTACTCCAGCTCGTCCTCGCTGTTGCTCTCCTTCTTCTTGCTCAGCACCACCATCTTCTTCCACTCCGCATTGTCGGCAGCTCCCTCGCCGGCCTTGCGCAAGTTGTAGTTGGGCTTGGCGCGCTGATCCCGCAGAGCCTTCCACTCGTCGAGGGTCATCAGCTTGGACTCGTCCTCCTCGGCGGGCACAGCGGGATCGGCCGACTGCTCGTTGGCCGAGTCCTCCTTTTCCGCCTGCGGAGACGACTCGCCGCCGGCGGTCTTCAGGTCCTCGATGTCCTGCTTCGGGGAACCCCAGTTGTGGGCACCGCCTCCCTCGCGCTTGTCAATTGACTTGACGCCTGTGGGTAAAAAAATATAAGATCAATATGTGGTTTAAGAAGGAAAAGGATAGAAATCCTTTAAAACTGTCAAATGTTTTAGCATTTATCAATCGAAATTACAGATGATTAATTTTTTTTATGCTGTCATATTTTACTCATTAGAAATTGAAATTGATTTTAGTATTAGTATAATTTAGCCATTAAATGTGTTTACAAAATTAGGCGTCAAGTCAATGGGTAAAAATATGGATCAATATGAGATTTAATACGATAAAGGATGAAAAATCTTTTAAAACTGTCAAATGTCAAAACTATTAAAATGACAGATGATTTTTTTTATGGAATATGTTAAATCATATATTACTTATTAGAAATTTAAATTAATTTCAAGTATAAAAAAAATTATTGTAATTTAGCCATAAAATGTGTTTACAGAGTTAAAGTAGAGATAAATATGAAGTTTAATAAGAGAAAGGATAGAAATCCTTTAAAACTGTCAAATGTTTTAGCATTTATCAATCAAAATGACAGATTTTTAATTTTTTTTATACAAAATGCCAAGTCATATTTTACTGATTAGAAATTGATTTTAAAAATAATTGTAATTTAGCCATAAAATGTGTTTACCAAATAGACCTCGTGCCTTAGTTTCAGACAATAAAAAGAAGTTGATTTATAAATATTAACCAACACGTTTTGAAAAATGTAATAATTTTTTTTGTTGTAACTCCAATGCGAACTGAATTGATAAACGCATAGGCTCGAAAATCACGTGAGAAATATGTGCTGTAGTAAGCGATATGTAATCTTGTTGCCAAGGCTTCGAGTTCTCTGCTACTCTATAAATATTTTTTTTCTGCAGCATGCGTTTTCCTTTCGAGAATTTTCGACTCGAAAAGAGTAAACACCGCGAGAACAAAGAACTGAATCTGAATCAAAATCTTTGGCTTTATAATTACCGGTTTTATCGGATCCCGACTGGCGATCGAACTCGCGCTTTCCGAACTTCTCGCCGCCGGTGCGGGCGCGTGGTGGCCCCCTGTTATCACGATTGTTGAATTGACGCTGGGGCAGCTCGTTGCCGAATTCCCCGGACGATTCCTTGTTTCCGTAGCGCTGGTTGTTGTAGTTGTTGTTGTTGTTGTTGAAGCGGCCCTGGTTGTCCCTCTGTCCATTTGTGGCTGCGTTCCTGGGGCGACCCGAATCTCCGCCAGCAGAGGGCGCCAGTTTGCCGCCGCCTGGCTTCACCGGACTCGCGTTCTTGGCCGCCGGATTCGAGCTATTAACCTTGCGGGCCGACGCCACCGGCTTGTTCTCCTTCTCCTGCTTGCTCTTGGCCACCTTCGGCTGTTCCGGTTTCTTCGCCGGCGCCGCCACTACGGCGGCAGCGGGAATCTGTGGCTGGGCAGGCGCGGAGGAGTCATCGTCGTCCATGAACAACAGTTCGTAGCGGTTCTTGGCTGAATTGTCCATGATGTAAAATGTCTGCGGGGATTACAAGGGAACCAGATTTGGGGATTACTTTGGTTTTCGTTGGCAGCCTGTTTTGCTCGTCAACTTATTGGCACATGGCCGGCCGGGTGCTCAGACTATGTGATAATCGGTTAAAATTGCGAAAACGCGGAGCAAAATTACCTCGCCGGAAACGAAAGTGAAGGGAGAAACATCGATGAGCGGGGGTCTCAAGGATGCATCGATGGATTCGCTGGTATCGATTGCTTGCCTATCGATGGCTGCCGGATGCGATAAATACTAAACAATTTGTATTTAACCAATTAAAATATTTTAATATAAATTACTGTAAAAGTATTTGAAAAACATAATATTCGACTAAACAAATTATAATTATGGAATAATCTTAAAATATTATTTAAGCACAAATTAATGTTCCAGTCAATCTACATATTTGGGATTTGAAATGAAAAAACTTTTGTTACTGATACCTACAATTTAAAAATACACAAAACATTTATTTTTAATTTAAACCACTTTAACATAAATTAAACAGATACCAGAATTATAATAATATAAAGTCACTCAACGGTATTAAATACCACCAAAGATCGGGACGACATAAACTTATGAAAACTAAATTTATTTCACGAAAACTGTATTTTTAACTAATAATGCAATTAGTAATTATTAAAGTAACACCAAAAAAGATCAAAAACACAAAGGAAAAACCTTAAACATCGCACAAAAATATCGGTATATTAAATATTAGGCGATATATCGATGTGGCCCCCAGGTGTCTTTCACCCCTAGCAGTCGGCCCATTACCAAACCGAGAATAACTTTTGGGCCCGTAGAGACAAATGTGACATTTGTTTCTTTGATGCGTTGCCATCGAAATTCTCTGTCCTCTTCGGCCTGATGCAAGTAATAAATTCAAGTAAAGGCAAATTGTCCCCGTAAGCGAAAGCTAGTCCATCGTGAATTGTGGCCATTGCGCAGCGAACCGCGTGAGACGAGACCAAGGAAGCGAAGAAGGAAGAGGAGAGAGGGATCTCGAGCACCCAGGAAAATCCCCATCCCACATCCACCACATCCACGGGCCCCCAGTATTATTCGCAAGTGGTAGCAGGGCCGCGTTTGCGTTTCGCCGGTGAGTCCTAAATAAGACCTAAGTGCGATCCATACATATCTGTCCCATATCCATAAGTTATTCATAAGGCCAAGTCTGAGTGCGTGTTGTGTCGAGCTGGTTGGTTTCCTCGCTTCCTCATGTGAACGCGGGACATGCATAAACAAAAAAATCAATATCGCTCGCCTGCTATATGCAGTTTTTCCTCTTCTTTTTTTTGGAGCTCGGGGTTTTACGGTTCTCTGTATGGATTTTGCCTTGACCTCTTCAATTGCGCGGAACTGCCTTTGCCTTTTGCGGCAATATAAATATTTCACCCCCAAAATGGTTGAGCCAAAAAACAAACAAGTAATTGCTTTAAAAAAAACCTGGTAAAAAATGTCGTGATGTCATTTTTTGTCGGCCTTTTTTGGACTTCAGTCGCATGGAAATCGACTGTATTACTATAATCGGGTCAGCCAATGGGGCTCCTTTCGGTTTTATGCACATGTCGGCCCTTCGTTTCTATCAAAACTTTTTTCGGGGGTTGTTCGACCCCTGCCCATAGATAATGTCTGGCCTAACGAGTATTTTTACACCCTCAAGGGGTAATTTTCCAAAATGTAGTATATCCAAAAAAAGAGAAACAAGTGATATACGATTTTTACTCTGTGTTAGTAAAAATCTAAAAGAGATCTTGAAATTTCAAGCAGTAAAACTGCTTTTTATGCACATAAAAATCCGATATACATATGTATTTTCGGCTACTCAGCAAAAAAAAATGCAAAAGTTCCGCAAAATTGATTTGGAAGGAGTTGTCACAGTGTCTGCATTTTAAATCTCTGTATGTAGAAATTCTGTGTGCCTAAGCTTATATATTTTTTAAGGATTATTCTGATAGTTTTGTGAAATTTCAATATTTTTACGGCCGTTTTCTTGTTGGGATGGTAAACGAAAAGAAGTTTCTAAAACCTCCTTTAAATTTACCATGCGAACGATAAAACTGAACGTTAAAATAAGAGATCTATAAAAAAAAGTTCAAGACCATAAATGGTATATGGTATTTGTTTAACAATTTTCTGTCGATTTAATTTCACCGTGACTTGAAAGATTACATCCGAAAGAAATTAAAATAAAAATATTTTGTTTAATTCCTACTGAACATTTTTATTTGCCATAATTTTGTAAGTCCTATGGGAAGAGTTAGCCTAAAGTTTTAGTCATCAGCCAGAATTTCCGAGTGTGAGCGTAACATAATATAATTTGCGTATTTTATTATGTGTATAACCGGAAAATTTTATAATTTTCGCTATGCTTGATTTCAGTTTTTGTCAAAGTGGGATAAACACACAAACAAAATCGGCGAAAATAACATTGAATGTTTTTTTCTGAAACATCGGAAACATTCCGATTTTCTTTGCTCTCAGCAAAGTAGTAAAATTCTCAAAGTGTTTTTAAAAGTTAAAAAATAACTTTTCCATGGTATAACTGATTTACGAGTAAGGTGAGCACTGACCTAAAAGTATATAATATTGGTTAAAAGCTCATATTTGGCTTCGTCCAGCCACACCTATAATTACAAAATAATGTGTTTCTTAAACTCAATATTCTTTTTTTTACAATGCTTCAATTAAATCGAATGCTTCACATAACCGAATTACGCATCTGCTGGTCCATTGTATTCTAATAAATTTAACTTGTTTAGATTTAGTACTCTGATGCTAGCTCATAACTTTAGCGCCTTTATTAGACGTCGGACTATATATGAGAAAAAATTTTAAACATCTGTTTTCCAGAGATCCTTGACTGGTTACATTTTTTTTTTTTTTAATAAAACAACAATTGGATTAAGCTTATCATAAATTATGAATTGAAGCCTACAATACCAAAGAAGTGTTACCGGAAATCGGACGTTACAAAAAAAATATTACATATAATTCAACGTCTAATTTAAATGCCTAAATACTGTATCAAAAATGTTGTGGCGGTTGAAACGTTCACCTTGAATTTCCACGACTTTTTGATTCTTGTGTACATTATTTTTGGCAATCCAATTAGTCCTAGACAAACAAGTTATTTAAATAAATCTGTTGTTTCCCCTTAGTTTAAGAGATTTAGAATTTAAGAACTGTTTTTAGATTAATAGAAGAACTGATTAGTATTATAAGAGTAATTTTTGGTTATTACTTGTTAAAATTTGATATAAAATCATTTTTTCCTTCAATTTTATAGCATCGCAATATCTGAAATCAAAACCAAAATCAAATTTGTACCGGTTGGTACTCATAATCAAAGCGAAATAAAACTTACTTCTCTGCGAGCCACATGCACATTAATTGATGTTTAAAGGTATTACAAACACAAGATGAATACCAAAAACATGCAAAACAAACCCATGGATGGGGGAAAATTTCTAGAGATGTTGTCAACAATATCATTGGAAGAAATACTAAAATTTGAGTTTCGTCGCAACACAACAAGCAAATGGGTATTATTGATAAGTCCTCAGGATCAGAAGTATACTTGTAATATTTGCCGTGTTGTCCAGTTTGGCGGCAAAAATTTGTTCAGCCACCTTAGTGGTAAAAAACATAACTCGGTTATGGTAGCTGAACAACAATTGCAAATAAGAATCAGACCAGCTGGTGGTCCACAGAAAGCGGTTCCAGAGCCCTTTAAAAAAGGACCGAACCCCACGAATAACAAAAACAGTTCTTCCCCGGTTGTAAAAAATACCCCTGCTTCCAACAAAAATGTTCAAAACAAAAATAATGCCAATACTAATGCTGCCGGCAAGCAGACAGCTGGAAACTCAGCTGTAAAAGCTCAACCCGTTCAGAAGAAAATTTCAGCTATTGGCGTAAACGCACAAAAAATTGCCAGCCCGAATTCGGGAAATAATTCACCCATTCAAAAGAATATTTCAGCAAATAATCAAAACAATCAAAATAATATTGCAGGAAATAATACGTCCACTCAAAATAATATTGCAGGAAATAATACATCCACTCAAAATAATATTGCAGGAAATAATACACCCACACAAAAGAAAATTGCAGGGAATAATGCACCCGTTCAAAAGAATATTCCAGTTATTGGTGCGAACGCACAGAAAAAACCCAATGCAAACGCGGCAAATAATCAAGCAAAGAAACCGGTTGCCAACCCAGCTAACCCTGGGATTAAAAAGGGACCTCAGCCTACAGCACAAAGCACAGCGGGTCCTTCGAACATTTCAAAGAACTTAGGAAGTCCTGCACCCAAACCCATTGGGAGCAATACCAATTCTCAGCCGAAACCTACTGTCAAAACTACACCTAATTCACAGTCCCCAGCAAAAATTCAGACCCAAGCACAAACACCCGCTCAAAGACAATTACAACCCCAAGCGAAGCCACAGCCGAACAAAACTGTGCAGAATGCTAGACCCAATAATCCAAATATTGTCAAGAATCCGCTGGCCACTAAAATAACTTGTGTTCCGCTTGCCAAGCTAATCAGCTCCAATCCAGAACCCCCCGAGCCTGATGAGGATGTCATAATTATCGATGAACAATCTAAAGAGGTTCCCAGCCAACCAAAAGAGGTTGCCAACAAACCAAAAGAGTTTCCCCAAAAACCAAAAGAGGCCCCCAAACAATCAAAGGAGGCTCCGAAACAAGCGGCAACTCAGAAAAATCCCATTCCCATTCAAACATCCAAACCGAATGCTTCGACTGTTCGTCCTAATATGCATAAGGTAATAACCCCTTCATATGCTGTCCCAAAGGATTACGCACCAGCTAGATACACTGGCGGCACATTTGAGTCTAGAAGTCCAAATGATGTAATGGGTCTCGTTGGCGTAGAGTACGTCTTAAAGATTGTAAGGAACTTGGCCGATAAAAGCGCCAGATACCAATGCTGCTTATGCGAGATCACCGCTGATGAGCAGTCGATGCACAACCATTTGCTGGGCTACAACCACCGTTTAAAGTATTTCGACAAGCATTTCCCCACTGCAATGCGTCAGTACCGTCAGTATGTCTCTCAGGTTCCAGAAAGCGAAGTGTGCAAGATAATGATGCCCGTTTTTGATAAGCTTGCAACGGCGATTGAAACCCATCACGGCCGCAAAACTGCCCATCTGTGCTATGAACATGTTTATGCCAAAGATCGCCAGGCGTTGTTCTCGCAGGTGTACAATAGAAAGCATTCATCCGAAAAGGTGGGTCCGTCGTTCACCCACGTCGTTGATGCCAAAGAGGTTGACGAATTGATTGAAAAGGCCAGGAACAACGTTCAGCCCATGATGAACATGGAAAATCCGAACCCATATTTCGTTCCGCCATATGTAGCTCAGGGTCCGCCCAATTATATGCGCTACCAGAATGTGCCACCAAAAAATACATCACATACTGTTGATGACGAAACGCACAAGCGGATGGTTGAGAACTTCCTCAGGGACACCAGACAAAGTTCAGGCGACGTCCAGAAGTCTCGAAACCCGAAACGCAACCGTTCCAGATCCAATTCGCCGGATCAGAGGAAGAGAGTCGCCTCGAAGAGGACTTGGAATGTGGAGCGCAGGTCGGTGTCTCCCTTGCGCGATGGGGACATTTGGCAGGCCTACCGGCACATGGTTAACCTCAAGGTGCGTGAGCTAAACGATTCCTTTGACACCTACAAAGCCGACCCGGAACAGCATCCGAATTATCAGACCGAGTGGCAAATGTTTTGGAAGCGCCGCAAGGATGAACTTACACTGGCTGGCATCAATCATCGTTCGTATAATTTCCAAAACGAATGGATTCATTTCTTTAATGCCCGTATCGAGGAACTGTACAATCAAGATATTGAAAATATCAAAATAAAATGCCGCGAACGGTTGTGCTTGCCAATGACCAATGACGAATTGAGCAACGAAAAGTATCACGTTCATTTGCCCAAAAATTCAGAGACAAATATGAGTACTGCGGAACCCAACAAGGGGCCTCAGAAAATGCCCATGGATGTGGATCCTCCGATTGTGGAGCCACCGAATGTTATTCACGTGCTTCGCCTGTTGACGGCTTTGGAAAATTACCTCGGTAGTTTAGGTCCTTTCATCACTGAAATGCTAGTGAAAGCCCTGCAAACGCAGAAGATTTATCCTGAAAAAGTGCATACTTTAATTTTAACAGCTGAAAATTGTGCCATCTTGGAAACGGTTAAGGAAAAGTTTACGGGTCTCTTGATCTCCCAAATTTATGATCCCGCTAAGGAACGGGCCTTGAAAAAAGCCATTAGTGACACCGAACTTCTGCTTCAAGAGGCCAGTAAATATAACCATCCTAAAGAAAGCGCTCAGCGGGCCGAAAAACCAAATTTGCCGATGGCTAACCAAAATACGATTAGTCCCGATAAACCATTGGATAAAACCCAGCTTGCCGCAAAGCTGGCTTCTTCTCTGGTGTCCCAAGGCAAAACATCTATTAACCGGGAAGAACTTCAGAAAATACTTCAAGTTTATACGATGATTGAGCAGAAGAAACGCCAGGACATACCGTCTACCAGCTCGGTGAATTCTGTGCCCAGCTCTTCCGGTAACTTGATTCCAAACTCAAATAACAATGGCAACTTGTTGACACAACATCCAACTAGAAATCTAAACTTTGCAAGCAATGCAGGCAGCACCAACAACCCGACCAGTATGTACAGTACTGGTCAAAACTACTCCGGAAATGTGGCTCGCTTTAACAACCAACCAAACACTAACATACCTAACACCTTAACCTCAAACGCGTATCCGACTGATCGTGGATATGGCGGATCAGGCGGATCCGGCGGATTTCAAAGCAATCAATTTGGCACTGGAACTCCGGCGATGAATCCAAGCAGCGTTTTGCGAAACGACTTGACTACGTCGTCGCTATTCAACTTCAACACCAATTTGAACCCATCTTACAACAACCTCAACCGGAGGAACCCTAATTTTTAATTAAAAGCTATTAGAATTAAACACAACACTTACATGGAATCCTTATTAATGTAATCGCATCACTTTCAAATCAGCTACATTCATTGAATATTTGTACAACATTTGACCGATGTAATGTAAATAAATCGATTTTATAATTGAAATCATTTGTTCTTAATTATAGTAATAAAAGGAGGAAGTTTAAAGATAGTACATTTTATAAATAAAAATACTTGTCTTAAATATAAAAAAATGTTTTTTTAAAACCATTTTAATACTATTGATCAAACACAGGAAATAATTTTTCTTACTAACTTTTTTTTGTATACTTTTGTGAAAATAAAATAAATATTATTTTGTATAATTGGCAACCATCTAAATGTTACACTTACCTTGAAGCCAGATTAAACATTTTTGTAAATCATACATCCAGTTAAATGGGAAAGATGATATGGGAGAACTGTTTGTCTGGCTATTAGGTATTTTAGATTAAAGAAATAGATCTGTAAGCAAATACGTACAGCGCATGGATTTTCTTCTGCCAGCATATAAAATAACGCTAATGGATCTTGCAACAGAAAATTCTAGTTTGAAGGAAAATTTACTTATCTGCATGGAAAACTGATGAAAAACATTGAGACTGATGACTGTCCCCATTTAAGGTACTTAGAAGTTAGTCACCTTCCTTCCCCATTTCATATCATAATGGCTTACATGTTCGTCGCTGGAAATTAATCAGCCACAACAACTGCGAATCGCTGGAAAACCGCCTGTCCTTTTTCTTACGGCAAAAAGCTTTCGATCTATAATATTCATTTTTAGATCAGCCTTTCTTGAAAACGGCGAAACCCTTTGCAATTGGGTACTCTCCGCTGAAAAAGGTACGCATGAAATCAAAAGTAGTTACAAAACACGAACAAATCGAACTGAAAAGTCAACCATAATTATAATTTAATTTTGAATAATTTTTTGAATTTTTAATGAATTTTTTAATCAACTTAAAATCCTAGATTATTTATGCAAATTTGTAATTGAATTCAACAAATTTGAATTTATCTTTTTAAGTATGATATACTTAAAATTGGACTTAGTATGAATTAAACGTAACATTTAGGTTTCTTGTCTTTTTGTAATGTCTGTTCTTTTCTTATGCATTATCAAATCAATGAAAATAAATCTTCATTGTTAAGTTTGATTTATTTCGAAGATATTATTTCGACGTGCAATTAAGGGAGGTAATGGTATGTTTATATTCCATGTGTCCGTTCGCTAGACTCAGATTAGTTTATAAACAATTTTTTTTTAACTTTTGATGTGTTGAATCCAGAAGCAAAGATATAATAAAGAGAATTACTCCTGTTAAAACTGTTAAATAAAATATTAACCTATTTGTACATATTCTACCATTTCAGGAATCGTTATGCCGTCTTCATTGTGTGAAGCGCTCACAAATTCTTCGTAAGTTTTAAAAATTGTTTATTAGAAACTAATAAACTAATAAATTACACAAAGAAGTTTTAAATTTTCTAATTATCTCTTTTTTCTAATTTTTTGGCTTGTATTGTAGAATCAATTTTGAATATCAAAAAGAAGATGATTGGATTACGAGTGGAAAGCTGGGTTCCCGCGAAGCAGTTTTGGTTTTTAAGACGAATATTCTTAATCCAAAGATCCGCAAGACGTTATCTGAGAAGTCCTCTGCACAAGCGTTATCTGAGTCAAAGGATAATGTAGAAGAGCCCGTTCTAAGTCAAACGAAAGCGGAGCAAAAAGAACCCACTTCTTCAGAACCAAGTAGTAAGGAAGCTCTAAGCAGTTCGACGCAGCAAAAGATTTATTTATTGAAAACCCCGCAACAATGTGATAAATCGGATAAATTAACTTTTTCTAGCCCTTTTAAGAAGATACTTAACCGATATTCCTCGAGTGATACGTCCATTTCCAGTGAAGGTGAAGAGCCTGCACATAGTAGAGAATGCAAATCGCGTGTACTTAAGACCAGTCAACATACCATTAATCTTAACTTAGATGCAGATTTATCGAAGGAAAGTGGATACGAGTCCACAGCACCTGCCAAATCAATTTCAAATACTGAAGTAAGCGAAGAAGATCCGGAGGTGACAAGCGAAGATGACGACGAATATGGTGTTAACATGCCTGCCTTTAAGCTAAAGATTACCTACAAATTCCATCAGACGGAAACCAAGTTGCTGAGAAAACTGTTCAATGTCCATGGCCTTACAGAAATTCAGGGTGAAAATAATAACTTTAATTTGCTCTGGACTGGTGTTCATATGAAACTAGATATTGTGAGAAATCTTGCGCCGTATCAGAGAGTTAATCACTTTCCAAGGTAATTTGAATTCTTCTACATGCTTATTGAACTCTTGAATTAATTTATTATTTTAATACACAGATCCTATGAGATGACCCGCAAGGACAGGCTTTATAAGAACATAGAACGCATGCAGCATCTTCGGGGAATGAAGCATTTCGATATTGTGCCACAAACCTTTGTACTGCCCATAGAATCCCGAGATTTAGTTGTAGCACATAACAAGCATCGCGGACCATGGATAGTAAAACCAGCGGCATCCAGTCGGGGAAGGGGAATATTCATTGTGAATTCGGTAAATATAAAAAGGAGTTCACTAATTTCATATCCTTAATTAAATGCTTTTATTTTCAGCCCGATCAAATACCCCAGGATGAACAGGCTGTAGTATCGAAGTACATTGTGGATCCGCTGTGCATTGATGGTCACAAATGTGATTTGAGGGTGTACGTCCTAGTCACGTCCTTCGACCCCCTTATTATTTACCTATTCGAAGAGGGCATAGTGCGGTTGGCCACAGTCAAGTACGACAGACATGCGGATAATTTGTGGAACCCATGCATGCACCTCTGCAATTACAGCATTAACAAGTACCATTCTGATTACATCAGGAGCTCCGATGCTCAGGATGAGGATGTAGGCCATAAGTGGACGTTGTCCGCTCTTTTAAGGCACCTGAAACTCCAGAGTTGTGATACACGCCAGCTAATGCTGAATATAGAAGATTTAATTATTAAGGCGGTGCTAGCCTGTGCTCAGTCCATTATTTCGGCCTGCAGAATGTTCGTGCCCAACGGCAATAACTGCTTTGAGCTGTATGGATTTGATATATTAATAGACAATGCACTGAAGCCATGGCTGCTGGAAGTCAATCTATCGCCGTCAATGGGTGTGGATAGTCCTTTGGACACAAAGGTGAAATCCTGCCTAATGGCCGACCTATTGACGTGCGTGGGCATCCCGGCCTATAGTCCCGAAATGAGATCTCACTACGACCAGAAATGGTCACGATTCCGCAGTTCAAGCTGCCAACGGCAGGCAACCTTTCCCGGTGTCTCGCAAAAGACAAAGAAATCGAAGAAAAAGGGAGCCCCCATTAGTGTAAGTCTAACTGGCGAGGAGCAGCGCATTTTGCGCAATGCACGCCTACAGTATTCTCGCCGCGGTGGATTCGTACGCATCTTTCCTACGGACGATTCAATGCAGCGATATGGTAATTTCCTCGACTCTGCCAATGGCATTCCAATTTCCACGCCGACCGTACAAAGTCAGACATTCCAAACGCCGATTGTGCAGCACAACTACAACCAGATGCTTCACCAAAATCTATACTGCAAGGATGGCCGGCAAAAGCAGGACGATAATTCGGAGGCCGATCGAATTTGGCAATACGAAAGAGCCCTGGAAACGGATTCGGAAATTCCGTTTGTCAAGAAGCCGGCGGTGGAGAAGTGCGAGGAGGAGGGCAGGAGGTTGCGGAAGGTGATGCTTAAGAAAATTTCCAATGGATCGGAACTTACGCCGTTTCAGGCACGACAGACTTTCAGTATATATTTGGAATCGGTTCTGCGGCGTCTGACCGAAGATCCGAAGGACAATCACGAGAAAATAATACTCAAGTTCTTGAACAAATTCGGTGGGTCTGTGAAGCCGCCGGTGATTTTCCGGAATATGCAAACCCTCAAGGTGGCCAGCAAGGCGCGATCGGCAATGGTGGCGAAGCTACTGGGCGACTTCCTAGAGAATTACAAGCGAGACACGGAGGCCTATGTGGACTCTTTCGATCACTTCGGAATGATACCGTCCAGTGCCTACAACCAGTTCTTAATGCACGCCCAGGAGTCCGATTTGGAGGCAGTGCTGACGCTGCACACCAATGTTACCGGGATCATGCCCTTCCTGTACAACCGCTGTGGTCTGTCGGTGCCACCCACTCCCCCGATTCCGTCGGGCCTCCATGGCTTTCTGAGAGCCCTCCCCTCCATGGTCAACCCCTCCGGCATGGCCAGGGAGCTCAGCAAGTACGATGGCTACTTTAAGAGCTACGACAAGGAGAAGATATTTCTATGAGGCCGCACATCGCTGGGAGATCTTTAACTATATTAGCTAATTTGTCAAGCTTTTGTCCAGTCATCCTATTTGTAGTAAGTCTAATTATTTTTGTATTCAAATTTTCGCATTAAGGCAGAGGCTTAAACAAATAAATATTTATCGAGAAAACAACGATTACTTAATGTAATTTTTGAAACGCTTTATTACAAAACGAGATAGCTTTTATATATTTAAAACAAGGTCAAATTTTTCTGCCTACACAACTCATAGCTTTAAAAAACAAATATACTTTCTACGCCAAAGATATAAATGAAATCGATACTTCGAAAATAAATGTGAAATGCACAAAACAATATAACGGTATTTGGTCTTTAAGATTTATTTAAATGGTTTGGGTTGCAGTTAAGATTTTCAGATAGTTTTTGTGTTTAAAACTATAATGGTGCGAAAAACTCCCAACAGGTGGCGATGAAAAGACTGCTGTTCTTATAATAATAACTTTTTATTTTAATATATTTAAGAGTTCTTCCGAAAAGATTTAAGAACTAAATATAATCTTTCATAAAATATCCTTTATGTTTGTAACGTTGTAGTGAATTTGAATTTTTTTACAGCATTTCATTTTGGCAACATTTAGTAGGTACTAAGGTGAAATTTTTGTTTGTGTTGTATTTTATATTTAGAGCACTTCTTCTCCCTATAAAGTGCTCATTGAAAATGGACTCACAAATAAGGAAAAGCTTTTACAGGAACCCAACATGCTGCCAAAGCTTTTGCTGGAGCTTTCCAGAGAACCGAGTTGCCCGAGTGGTCATTCATTTCCTTTTTTGGCAGAAAATATAATTTTTTGCTAGTTTATTGCAAACGCAATAAAATTATTAATTCCCCTAATTCTTGGACTACCATGGGCGCACTCATCGTTCAATTTTAATCGAGTATACAGCTCGTCCGTGTAAATAGATCTCTGGAGACAAAACCAAACGGTGCGGTGAGCAAGGAATTGGTATTGATTAATTCCCCGTCAATAAATAAATATATTTTTCGAACTTTTTGACAGCGCTTATCAGAAATCCCCAACCACCCGCAGTACAAATATATGCAAATAAGTGAATTCTTATGCCGTTGAACGACTCCGAAGAAAGTAATAAAATTTTCAGAAGCAAAACCAAACAATGACAGCTGATTCCAGTGCACGTAATGTTTTCCGAAAGAATGGCGTTGCCGGCTTGGGCAACAACGGTCATGGTCGAAATCTTATTACGACCGCGAATCCCTCCGGCGGAAGTAGCGCCTCCCTGCTGCAGAAGCAGTTGTCCTTTAAAACGCCCGTTGGTTCCAAACAGATTGGCAAATCCGATGAGATCGAAATGATTGACAGTGCGAACATCGAAAATTTCAATACCCGTTACAATAAGGTGAGTGAATATTTAAAAACTGGAAAAAAACACTTTTTAGCGATTAATACCAATAAAACTGCAACACTGCGTATGAGAGATATTTAGGACCAAAATTAATATAACAATATTTCTATATATCTTTTGATCATTGTATCTAAATCTTCTATTTTGGTGTGTGATATTTAAACATATATTTCTTTTTTTTAATAGTAATAATACTTAATACATCTAAGACTGCAACACTGCGTATGAGCAATATTTAGGCTATTTTAACAAACATTTCTATATTTCTAAGGATCCTTTTATCTAACTATTTATGTTTTAATATTTTAATGTTTTAAAAATGTCCCCTTTCAATTACAGAACAGCATTATAGGATGGATATGTTGTGCCCCCTGCATTTGGCTGCGAACATCAGCAGCGGTGCACAAAATGGCAATCACATCCGCAACTTTATTGGTCACCACACTGCTGGTAGCCTCGCCCATCTTATTCCTGATAAGCACAGCTCCGTCACCTTTGCCCCGGGATTGTTACATGGACGGAGATCGGTGCTCGCCCGCCGTCTCAACACCGCCAGAATGCTCGGATCCCATTTGCGAGGCAGTGGCCTCCAGCATTCAGGCCAGACTCAATTGGAACAAGGATCCGTGCACAGAGTTCAAGAAGTTCAGTTGTTGGCGCAACACGCGAAATAAAAACATAACCAATCTCATTGAAATGGGAAACTCACAGAAAAGCGTCGATTCACAAATGCTGCGTAAGATATTTCATGCACTTCACAGTACTTCCGATATTAAATCTCTTTAACTTACAGATCTTTTCCAGAACAAGATTATGAACGGCACCTTTAATATATTGCACAATTTGTTCGAAAGCTGCTTGCAGCAGACAACTAACTCAACTATAATGCACAAGATATTCGATTCCCTGGGCGGATATCTACCTGTTGGTTCGGTGGGACCGTCGAGTATAGCACCTTTGATAGCAAAAATATACGATCTCGGTCCAAGCCCATTAGTAGACTTATATTATGACCTTAGCTACGGAAGAAGACCGCACATTCTTCTTATTATTAGTGGACCCAGCACATCGTCAACTATTCTTGAGGTATGTCCTTTGAATTTATTGAAGAACCTAATGAATAATATGATAATTTACTTAGCGCAAAATACGTTGGATGAGTCCCAAAGCACCACCCAGTCGTATTCGACAGGGGTTACCAAAACTGTTAGCCGATTTAATCGAAAATTTTCTACCGTACTTTGTGTCATATGCTCAAAGAGTCTCTGAGAAGGATACTATTTTTGAATTCATAAAGGACTTGAACAAGGTTAGTTTAATTTATATATTGTTAATCAAATTTAGGCACAACACATTTCATTTTAGCTTCAAGTCGAGCACTCTCGCCGAGGATTCTGGGATAGTACTGTTTTATATAATGTATCCAGTCTACAAGACTTGTATCCAGTTGTAAGTTTTCTTAATAAATATTTGTCTCGTGATAATAAAATATTATTTTTTCAGCTAAATTGGACATTGTTAATCCCACAGAACTGGAGCGGACCCATCGTTGTCAGGAATAGTGATTATCTTAAAGCCTTAGAATATTTTCTTACCAAGTACCCAACAAGAGTTGCACACAATTCACTGCTTTTGCTGAGCGCTTTAGAAATATTGCCCAGGGACTATCCAAGCCCTGAGGTATGCACCAGATCGACAATGTGGGCTTTACCCGAACTGTCATCATCCCTATATATTGCTCAACACTCATCGGAAGATTTAAAGGACACCACAAAGCGGGTACTTATAATGCCAAACCAAATATTTATTTTTTTTTCACATTTTTATACAAATTATAGGCGGAGATAATTTTTAAATCTCTAAAAGCACACTTAAAGCGAGCGCCTTCATTGAAAGGAGCTGCCCTCGTTAAACTGTCGGCACTGAAGATCCAGTCACAAACCTGGGAAGGATTCTCGAACACAACGGACTTATTAAAGACTCTTCAAACTTTGGATATAACCGCAGAATGCTGGTTTCAAAACATTTTAGAGATTTACAAAATGAGCAAACTGGAACCAAAGGATATAAGCTTGAACGGAGGCTCACACGATGCGTAAGTCACTATAACCTTAAGAAAATGATATAACTTTTTTAAACCATATTATTTATATTACAGTTGGGCCTATCCTATAGTTTCAACCATATTTTATGATACCCTGAGTCATTCAATTGGTATGTGTACTTCATAATTACAATAATCTACTGATAATCGTAATATTTCCGTAAATACTTGCAGTTGTCCCATTATCTGTCATACTCATACCGTATTTCAATGCTGTATTGCCTCCATATTTGCATTATGCTTCTGTTGGTGTTTCCATTGCCAAAGAGATCTTGCGATCTATCACCAAATCGTTTGACGAAAAGGCGATGCGTTGTGTTCCGCATTCTGTAAATATATTCTCGAACTATAGCCGAATGGACATCCTGATACATTCAGGAGGAATGCAGATCTCATACCACTCAATGCTTTCCCTAACGGGTCCTATTAAAGGGATGGCAAGACTACCTGGCCTGAATTTAACGCCGACCCAAATCTTCTTTTTAGTTTCTGCCCAGGAACTTTGTGCTGAATCGAACTACTTGGGTATCGATACAAACGCTGCCGAGTTTGATAACATGTAAGTTGTAACTGAAGACTAGAGGGTATTTTATTATATTAATACTCTTTGATTTCAGATTGGGTTGGCTCGTTGCCCAAGGTGGGAGTGCGACTGAAGTTTTCAAATGTCCATCGGGATCCATGATCAACATACAGAAAACCTGCAATGTGCTTTAAATATTATTTGATCCTCACCTTCGACTATTTTCTCTGTCAACGATCCGAAAGCGGTTTAAAATATAGTAGCTCTAGAGACTTACCTATTAGTATTGTTTTTTATTTAATATGTAAAATGTATATTTTAAATAAATATACTGTTAATAAATTGTTGGTTTATATTTAAATCTGCAGACTTTACATCTACATGGAATCATATATCGATTATAAAACGTAATCAAGTTAGCCTGCTAACTAGTTTCCAAATAAAAGGAGTAAATACAAATTTTAATAAAATGATAGCATTTGGATTTCTAATAAATCTATTGATTGCTTTAGCAACAAGTGAAATGCCCGATAATATGAATGCAATTCTAGTCAAATGCCCTAAAAATAATGCCCTAAACAAATCGTGCGAGACGCAGTTAATTGTTAATATTCATATGAACCCAAGCTTCGATTTGGATAACTCGGAAAAGTTTTGGGTAGTCGATCAAGTATACGATCCATCAAAAGGAACAACTTCAAAAATAATATCGCCCTATTTGATAGTGGTTAGCAGGGGCGAGCCTGTTGTAATGTACCCTCTTCAGTATTTAAAAGTCAGTAAACTTTGTTTTTTATTAACAGTAAATCATTTATTTAACCTCAGTCAATAAAGCAGGATAAAATAAGCAAGAGGCCCTTTAAAAAAGTCAATGACATTACGGATCTTGATGGTTCTGCTTGTAAAACTAATGAATTAGTTGAAACAAATATAAAAGCCCATGAGATTGGAAATGCATCCAGATGTGAGTCACTTATTTGAATTATTTTTAAAGCTAATTTTTAATTACACTTATATTTTAGTGAAAAGAAATCAGCTTCCTGTCTATGACAAAGGAAAATCAATTTTATCAAATTTTTTTGGTAAGGAAAGGCAAGATATACCCACCCCTTTTTGGCAAAGAGATAAAAAGATTAATGATCAATATCAAAATGACATTTCGAGCCTTGGACTTGTTCAAGTAATGGATTCTACTATTAAGAAAAGTGATTATATGAGTTTAGATTTTAATAGAGTTTTAAAAATGTGTAATTTTGCAGATCCCCCGGAAACCCCCACGGAGTTCTTCCATTTAAACAATGATAAACCGATTAACGATTTTAAAGAACATTTAAACAAAGATAAACAGATTACCGATTATGAGGAACCGGGAAAAATACAAAAGGAGCATCATAACTATGATCTAAAAATGAAATACGAAGACCAAATAAGAAATAAAAAAATTGAAAGCAAGCCAAGAGAAAACATAAGGAATACTAACACCGTGGACGATAGTGATATACGATTTTATAATGAGGTACGCTCAAGTTATATATTCTTAGTTTTAAATTATAGAATAATAGTAGGTATATTTCAGGAGCTAAAAAACCATAAGCCACAGCAGATGGAAAGCAGTCTTGACAAACTGTATACAAATACTGAAAAGCCAGAATATGAATCAGTGCCGCCTGATTTTTTATTGTAAGTTATAATTTCTTTATGAAAAAAATACAAATTTATTATCCATATAGGTACGATCGAATAGCACAAGAAACAAGAAGAAAACAAATTCAGGAAACATTTAAAAATGATTACACACCTCCTAGAAAAACATATATTGATTCGAATGATATTTCATATAGCGAAGAGTATAAAAATAATAATTATAAATTACCTACCAATAGTCATCCCTCCGACGCTAATGATTTTTCACGTGAAAGTAATAATAATAATCTTCCGCCCAAAAAGGAATATGAAAAAAATAATTTTCAGACATCCTTTCATAGTCAGCCAAATACAAATGATTTTCCGCTTGAAAATGATGATGAAAAATATGCCTTACAGCACCTTAAAAGTGGGCAATCCAACGTAAATGATTATTCGGAAAGTAAGAAACAGCACTTTAACTTTAAACCTCTATCGGATGAAAATGATTTTCAACAAGAAAGGAATTTCAGAAAACCATATATTAAAATGTCCTCTAAAAGTCTATCTAGTGCTTATGATTTGCCACAAAGCGCTGAAAAAGAGCCCTATAATTTTAGGACACCAGTCGATGGAGTGAATGATTTAACACACGGAAGTAAGAATGAAGGAAATGACTTAAGTAATTCAGATTATACCAATTATTTTAATTTTAAGGATGAAAAGACATACACTCATGACAATTATCTGCACAATGCAAATGGTTTTGAAAGTAATCAAGAAAACCTAAATTTGAATGCACCTATGAAAAGTCTGTACAGCAATAATGAATTTCCGCTGGATAAAAAATACGAATATTCAAGTTCACTTGCGAAAAATTTTAATGAATTTCCTCTGGATAAAAAATACGAATATCCTAATTCACCTGTAACCGATTTTAATGAATTTTCGTGGGCCCAAAGAAACATTGGAGACGATAGCCTAGATTTTATTATAAATCATCACATGAAACAAAAACTGCCAAGTAAGTAAAAATTATATTACATTTGAGTAACTTAAAAATTTTATTACAAAAATGTACAATTGAAATTTCAGATAATTTTGATTTCAAAGATAATTTTAACAGCCGAAATGATTTGAGTTCTGAATATTTTATGTCGGATAATAGTGAAAAATATTCAGATTTTGGGTCGAAGTATAAGATAAACCCATTTTCAACTTACCCAAAGACAAATTTCTACAGATCCTTGCCAGCATCTATAAATCCCAGAAGAATTAAACGAAGTAAGCTTCAAGGTGAAAATATAGAAACAAATAATGCTTCACCATTGGATCAGAAGTACGGTACCGATCCTAACTCCTTAAAAATGTTTAACTTAAAAAACATAGAGGATAATGGGGAAATTCCATGTGATACTTGTGGTGGAAAAAATAAAAAGAAGGATGAAAAGCCTCTTCCAAGATATTGCAATGTTTTGGACGAATCTAAAAGTCCTGAAAGTAAGATTGAGGATGTTGGCCCTAAACTTAATGATGCTGTTCCATGCGATACGTGTGGTGGTAAAAACAAGAAGCCTGGTGAAAAACCTTTGCCTGGTGGCCTGCAATCCGATGTTAACTCTGTAAGTAGTGAAAATGAAGAACAAAGGCTACCCGATTATATGATACCATGTGAAAATTGCAAGAAAAACAACAAATGTACCGAAGGAAATCTGGATTCTTCATCCTGCGGCTGTATAACTAATCCAAGCGTGTGTAATTGTGAATCCTCTAAGTTATCACGAGCTTTAAACGAAAGGTAATATCGAAAATAGTTTAACATTTCGATTTCTAAGTGCTATACTTTTTTTTTAGTGCAAAGGATATTAGCTACAGCGTATTTAATATGAAAAATCCTGTTCCATTTTTAACCACAACGCTACGTGTTTTTAGAAGGCGCCATAACACTTGGTGGCGGGTTGTCCCAATAGTTACGTAGGTTGGTCAAATTCAATTTAATTCCTCTACTTAATTGAATGGTTTTTCAGGCTTGATACTGTATCAGGAATATTCGCCAATAAAGATCTTTCAGCTGTTTTTACGTCACATGTCGACTTGATGCGCTTTGAGAAGTCAATAGGTTTTTCAAACCGAAAACTTGTTATTCCAAAATCCCATGATAATGCATTCACTAAAAAAAGGCATGTGAATACTTTAAAAGAATTACGGAATAACATAGGTAATAGTGTTCTAATTGACACTTCGAATAAGGACATTTCCATTCAAGAAATAAAGAACTTTTTAAATGTAAACATGGAAAAGGAGGCAAAGAAACAAGGAGGCTTATCAACTAGAAGCATCGATGGTTTGGGATACTTTCCAATTTCTATGAACGCCTTGGAGAATTGTCCGCATAAAGACAAGCACCTATGTCTAAATATTCGGGAGGAAAAAGTTCCAGGTGATAATCACCTGATCTGACCTCTTTACATTTAATAATATCTTTTATTTTTAGAATATAGTATAAAAGTCAAGATTCCCTTTCGGGAAAATGCTCTAGTTATGCGAAATAAGCATTTAGTTAAAATATCAAGAATTATTACCGATGCAACAACAAAGGATGCGCTTCAAATTTCGATCGATGTGATCAACAAAGGATTCGAAGCGCAGGAATTTACCGTATATGTTTGCAATTGTGATATATCTAATAGTGCCTCAATAGCAACTAGTGCCAGGAGATTATTACAACCGGATATTGGACAAACCGTCACTTTTTTATTGCCCTTAATAGTTGGGTCCAGAAAAAACACCAAGTTCAGTTGTGATGGTAAGTTTAAAGGACATATTTAACGTTTTTCCTAAGTTTTTTTTCCCAAATATTCAAGTGGTGGTTAAGGCTAGCGTATTCAAAGACAATGAGGAACCGGATACTGATCTCCCAGAAAAAGATGACTTAAAAGTTGGGGTTGTTGCAAAAAGGTCCATGGATGTTAAATGCCATTCTAGGTGCTTTTGTGTTTGGCGATGTCGATGCCACTGCATCGGAAAGTTGGAAACTTTCATCAACTATAATGCTTGTGAAAGAATGGATCCCAAATCGGAGAAAGAGGCTGGCCTCATTTACAATTGTCCACCTGGTAACGAAGAACATGATGTCTGCATCAAGGACATTACAAATGAACAAAATGAGGAGATAACTTGCGATCTTACTTGTAAAATTATAGCCATTACATTGCTGGTATTAATTTTACTACTTTGGTTGGGTAAGAGTATCATAAATATAGAAGATTTAAATATATATTTAAACCTTTTTCTGCAGGACTTTTAAAGGCAATTTTTGGAATCTGTATCGAGTGCATTGGTCGCTGTGGTTTCGACACAGTTCAACCGGGCAGAAACTATGATTGCACATCTTCGATAAGGATATTTTTAGTAAACTGTTTCTTTTTCATCATATTTCCCTTTGCATGCTGGTGTAAATTCTTTCGACCCAAGGCTAAGGACTTGATAGAAGCCGGCTCCGATTGGGATAATACGTCTCAATCCGATGATAATCCTGTGTGTTCATGTGATGTAAATACTAGAGGATTTAAGTGTGTAAACCTTTGCAAAATAATTTTTTTCTTTAGAAAAAGGAGTCCAGTACCAGTTGTCGTCTCCATGGTGGACAAGATAAGACCCTACACAATAATTTAGTTCTCGCCTTTGCTCCAATGCATGAAAACGGATTATTTAAGGATGAGAAATCAGATGACGAGGAGAGTCATTTGTTTATCTTGGGAGTCTTGGAGGAAAGCAAAAATTCACTGACTAAAATGGTACAAGAGATTTTAAATTATTTGTTACATAAAGTAGTGAATTTATTTCTTTCAGATGAGTCAAGTTGCAGAACCCGAAATATCTCCAAATATTGCGCATAGTACGGAAAGTGATGCCGATGCTATAGCAGCCGACGAATTAGTGGAAAGTCTCAGGAACTCACAAGTTGCTTATAGGACAATGAGTTCACCAATTGGCGGAGTAATCGACATCCCTGACAACTACCAATATTGCATAAAAGGTTTCTTTGTACAAACTCTAAATTCGATCTATGAGTTTTTGAGCTATGATCCATTAGCTCAGTTCGTTGGGATTTCGGAACAGGTATTTATTATAATTCAAAAATATATTTAATGCCAAGGTTTAAAATTTTTCTTTAGAATGAAGTTAAGAAACTGGAAAAACCCCAATATATCCACTCAAATGAATTCTCTAGAATATATGCTGATAAAATCGAGGTCCTTAAAGCAGCTGACCTCTCAGTGGTTCCTCCACTGAATGTTCATTGTATTAATATCGACGATTCCACCCATTTGGAGAGTTCGTTTGTCAAACTTGCAACGCAACAGGAACAACTGAAAGCTAATCCGTCTAAGGAAAATCAAGATTCTTAAAAATGTTAATAATTATAATGTTTTTTTTTATTAAATTTTAACTTATATACATCCTTAACTAAGTATTAATTTAATGGAACGTTGTAGGCAGAGTGTTCATTATATGGCTTTTTTTGACTGTCCAGAACTTCATCAATTACACCTGTTCTAATGTCTATTAAACCACTTCCGTCTGAAACCTCATTCGAGGAATCACTTGAGGTCTGTGATTCAGGTGATGTGGTAGTTTTATTACTTTCATTGCCATAATATTTTATGAAGTACACTTCCGGTGGATTTGGACTTGGGCTGACTGTTTCCATTTGCTGGGTTTGGATTGGTACTTCCGTATTTGTTTTCAATATAGCCTCTTGCCCAAGAGTTCCAGGATCTCTTAATTCGTACACCGATGTATTTTCAGATGCCTGACCTTGGTGCTCGTCCGGGGAATCGTAAAGATATCCACTATTGTCCACAGCTGAATATAAAGGGTTATTTTGCGTTACTTCTCGATTCCCGTACTGTAGATTATTTCCATTGATATGTGAGGGCTGCGAGTCAACGGACGAATAATGTTTATTTTCTGAATTTACATTGTAGCCGTTGGATTCACTTTGAGATACATAATTTATTATCGGCTTTGGAGTGGTATTGGGCACCAGATAATGGTAATGAATGTGCTGCACTGGTCGTGGGTTCTGTATTTGCAATTGAAAATCAGTGGAATATGTTGACTGAGTTTTTATTTGGGATCCGAACTCGGTTCGCGTAACTGATGGGTTTCCATTGATTTTTGGTTCTTCTGCAGCATTCATTTGAGGTATATCAGATGATGCATGTGGGCAGGGGTATTCATGATCTGTGTGGGATGTACGCGTAATATCACCAACATAACTAGCTGCTGGTAAGGGGTTTTGATTAATTTCCTTGTCCTTTATGCGGTTGACAATTCTTCCAATCGACTGAGCTTCAATTAGGGAATTTTTTACACCTTCTTCTGTTAAATAAACTTTATTATCTTTATTTACGACAGCACACTCTCCACGGAAAATTCCGAATAAAATTATATTAAACGCAAGTAGCACTCTTAAGCCTAACATTTTTTCAAAATTAGATAAATGTATTTCACAAAAGACAATCAACAACTGTCTTTTATCCGCTGCGTATTCAGACTTTATATGGAATCCAGATTACGTAAATACTTTCCGAATTGCTTGGATAATATCCATGAGTCCCAACTATGGTCTTAATCCAAAGCAAGCTTAATTTATTTATTTATTTTTTCGGTGAAAGGCAAATCGAATGCAATTATGGTGTCAACGTTAATAGAGGCTTGATTTGCGTGGGCTCTACAAAATTTTACACACTATAGTTGATTGCTCTTCGGAATTGATGGTTCATAAAATCACCTGATCGCAAAATGCTGGCTTCTGTGCTTTTCAAAATTAAAAGTCTCTCTGAAAGGGTAAAGAAAATACCTGCTTTGGTTTTTGTTATGTAAAGTAAAGCAACTTAAGTGAAAGTTTTGTATACTTATTCGGAATTTCGTCACAACCTAACGAGCTCCATTGGGTTCCGATCGGTTCAGCTTCAAGGGGATTTATAAAACCCAAAAACAAACCGAAAATAATAATTAGATCCATTACTTAGCTCTTTATAAAGATTTTATTACTATAAAATGTATTACAACAAATATGTAAAATGACAATAAAATGAGGAAAAAATACACTATTACACACATATATATGCTTGCGAATGTTGTTAGGCCTAGAACTTAGCCCCATTGTTGGCAGGGCATTATCGTGTTACTTAATATAAATGCAAAATCACTGTAAAAATTTCAAACTTAAAGTACTACTAAAAATAGTTTTATTACGTTTTTTTTTTTATTATTCATATTTAGATTCGATTGATATATAAGACATATATGTTTTTGTGGTTTTATATTTTGTATATTTTCATGACCTATGAATGAGCTATGCAGAGACACTTTAATATCGGCGCTTTCGGCTTCCTAGCGAATGGGTTTAACAGGTGGTTTCTAAAAGTGGATCAGGCTTATAAGTACTCGTAAAGGGGTTTACATTATTAACAGTTGTGGAATCTTTGGGGACTCGTTTTAGGGAGATAAAGTCCTCAAGGCGACTGGCACTCTGCACAGCGGCATCCCTACTCACATGAAGTTTATCCGTTCTGTGAGGGCCAACCGAATGAGTCTCATCAGATGTTGGAATTTTACTAACGTTACGATCGCTGAGAGACAAAGAAATGTTCTTCTCTAAAGGCGGCTCACGAATCTGCTCAGACAGTCGACGGATATTGAGGGGAAGTTCCTCTTTTGATTGAGTGGGAATCGATAAAGAGCTATGTCTAGAATGCAATTTTTCTACTTGAAGCAATGATCTGGCTTGATCGTTTGGACACAGCAAATTGCTGTTATTTTGATACACAGATTTTCTAGCATGGTTCGGCAATGGACTGGAGATCTCCTTTACTTTGTCCGGTAAAAAACTGGCAGACTTGCTTTGAACGTTTCCTTTTAGATCGTTAGAAGGCTGGTCGAGGGACCAAATTTTATGCGATGTATTACGATATTGTGGAGAGAATGGAGCAAAAAGCAGGCCTGGTTCATTTAAGAGTCCCTGATCGTCATCAATCTCGGTTTTTGAATGCTTCAACTGCGGCTTCTCACACTTTGATTTCTCAGTTCTGGTCGAAATAAGTTTGTTGTTTATGGAAGAAAGGGATTTTTCGCGATAGATATTTTTAGTTTTAGGAAGCCGGGAAACCTCCACTGTGGCATCCGCCTGCCGCTTGACCCATGGATCGATGTTGTGATGCATGTTTAAATACTTTTCCGCCTTGGGTGACAGGCTGTTCTTAATGTGTGAATTCTTTATCCATGGATCCGAGGGATACACCAAGCAGCCGGTACTTCTATTGTTGGTATCATAAAGAAAGTTTGCCTTATCTATCTCGACGTTGTTGGGGGAAGTTTGCTCCGATTTGCTAATTTTATGAGTAAGCTGGCGATAAAATTGATTGTCTGAATTACTGGAAAGCTGTCTAGTTTTTTGGGAATCTAGTCGCGGCGATTTCGTGACTTCGCTTTCATCGGATATTATGATGGCCTGTTGAAAGCCACTCTTATGCAATGTCAGTCTCGGGGACAGGGCTCTTTTATCCGTTCCAATCGAACTTTTCAATTGCAAGCACCCCTTGGTTGAATTATCTAAGGCGTTCTTTTCGGTCGTAATAGATAGCTTGGGGTCTTTGAATTTGCTAATGGCAGCCAGTTTGCTACCAGTATCTGGATTTAATTTGATTTTGATTTCCTCGTTTGTTTCCGAATCGGACCCATTGGACTTGTGGGCCTTCTCACAGTTGCATATTATGGTGGATGAAATGGATAAGACTTTTTGACTGTCCTTTAGAGATCTGTTGGATGCCACTCTTTTTATACTATCAGCGTCGATTTGTTGCGACACCTTGTTATTTAAATATCGACCGGAAAGTTGGGTATGCTGGCTATTTAGATATATATTAGCATTCATTGGTGAATGTGGAGAGAGTACTGGAAGTGTTGGAGCAATATTTGGTTGTTTTAATCGAGAAACAAAGAAGCCGTTTGACTTCAGATCGGTTAATGGTGGGTCGTCTTTCCTATTCTGTTTGTTATGTCTGTTTCCGCACGATTTGCTTGATAACTCCCTGCTTGGGAGTTGTGGTGAGAAGGGTTGGGCTTTTGAATGCGAGCCCGACTGTTTTTGCTAAAGAAACTTCTGCTCGAGAGCTTTAGTAGAACTCTGGCTGGAATTTGAGGCACCTGCAAAAAGACCGAACACACTCATTAGATAAACACTCAAGTAACTAGAACTCAGTAGGAGAAAGAGAGAGAAAAAGTTAAAAATTAAATTAAATTATTCTTCCTAAAAAGCGATCAAGCCAAAGTATAAGGTGTGTTTTAAAAGTGTAGCAATAGAAAACGGTTCACTTTCAAAGTATCAAAAAATTGCTTTATTCAAACTTTTTGTCCTTACATATTAAAACCATATTACTGAAGCGTATTGCTAAGGGTTCATTTCTGAGCCCAATGTGGTTATTTGATTGATTGTTCTACCAATTATTAGATTAATTATTAGATGATATGACCTAGGCTTATTCAATTAATACGGGGACCAGGATCACAATGCTGTAAATATGGGGATCTGGTGCAAAACTCCTGACAACTAGTTAAATATATATAATCTTTGTTAAAATGCAATTCTCGAATGTATTGTTGTGAGATAGATAAATAATTACATTGCCATATTTAAGATCTATTACAAACCATCGTTTTCATTCCGTTTGTTATTTGTTTCCACATTTTTTTTACTTGCTTCGCTTCCTGCAGCGGGGGCGACGGGATTCGGGTGTTTTGAACTTAGGGACGCACTACCTGCAGCTGGGTTCGAATTGGATATTACACCCGATGTAGTGTCACTCACGCCGCCGTCGACATTATTCTTTAATTGTCATTTGACGAGTTCCACCGAAAGAAACTTGCGCAGTCGCTCGTAATAATGCGGATGCAGCTCCACATCGTTGTGTCCGGCGCCCTGTAAATATGAATACCATGAATTTATTTCTAGATAAATAAATCAAAGATCTATTCATTGCAGTAGATCCGATTAAAGCAAAGTTTCCATTGTTATTTTCAATGTTTATGCAAAGCTTTGAGCTCGCTACGAGACACTCGATCGATTTCATTGGAAATGCCATGCTATTAGAATTAATAACGATCATTATCCCGCTTACAAAGCCGCATAACGAATGCAATAACCTGCTCTAAGCAGGTAATCAATCAAGAATAGGTAAATACTGGCAATTACCTCCACCCAAAACGGCTCGACAGTCTTAGGACACCGCTCGTAGATTCCGATGCCGTGGGAGAAGTCGATGACCTCGTCGTCGGTGCCGTGGATAACCAGAACGGGAGCCTTCACCTTGGCCACCTTATCAATGCTGCGCGGAAATCCGATAAGATCAGATCGTTATTAAGTTTTGATCGCAAATTAACAAATTAACTGGCTAACCTGGGAAAGGCATCGAAGAACCAGGTTCTCTTTGTGTTCCGGAAGACGACCCGCAGGCCGGACATCAGTGGCGAGTGGAGTATTACGGCGCCGACTTCGTGACGCGAGGCCAAATCCACAGTGGGCACGGTGCCAATGCTCTGGCCATACAAGATGATTGTCTCCGGGCTGATGTTGAATCTGGTATCAAAGATTAAAGGATTAGCTTGGTAAGAAGGTAACCCAATGGGTAAACCCACCTGGTTCTCATCGCCTGCCAGGCGGCCTCTATATCCGCATATAGATTCTTCTCCGACGGCTTCCCGCCGCTCATTCCGTAGCCGGAATAGTCGTAGCCAAAGATGTTGCAATTGATCTGGGAGCCCAGGGTCAGGTAGAAGCTGCTCATCTGGCCCAGATCGACGGCATTGCCGTGGGAGAAGAGCAGCGTGTACTTGGCGTTCTTGCTGCACCGCACATAGATGCAGGTGATCAGGTTGCCGCGCGAGGTGCGCGTGAAGAAGGCCTCCACCTTGGACTTCTCCCGCTCCGAGTACTGCCACTCGGCGCGGTCGAACAGCTGCAGGTTGTAGCGGATATTGGTGTCGTCCGCTGGGGTCAGTTTGTATGTGGGCTCCGGCGGCTGGAAGGCCAACTTGGCCGCAATGGGACCCGGACATGGGGGGCAGCAGAACATGCAACAGAGCTCGCTAATGCTGAACATGCTCGCTCCGTTTGTTGTATGTTGTAATGCCTCTGCGGAATGCTAACGATCTCTTCGATTTCTCTTCTAATGCACACGATTACCATCTACCATTAACCAATAACCAAGTCAACAAAGGACTAACGGGGTTTCGGGCTCAGACTTTTCGGGTCGGTATATATCATCTATCTTCTCTCCGTTTGTGGTGCTCGCAACTCGTCAGTGGGCTAGGCGATTGGGGTGGCCAGACAAACATAACATTTTGCGTTCGCACACAAGATCCAACATAATCGAACGGAACGTTTAATGGGCTAAAATGTCTCACTGAAATTTGGTACACTCACATTTACAAAATGACAATGTAGATAGGCAAACAACCACAAAGAAGTAAGGTGGCTAAAACGCCCTAAAAAACAACGGCACTTTCGGTATTTTAAGTGTGACCGCGTGGGGAGCGACCACAAAACGGCAGCGAATTGGCTGCCTACTTTCGGGGAACGGAATGAAATCGGAACAGACGATTAAAGGTTTTAAAAAACTTTTAATACGTTTTGAAAGGGCTTTATAAATAACAGGGGGATTCCCTAAACTGTTGAATTGCTGAATTGTTGAAAATTCAACAAAAAATTTCAGCAATTAAGGGAACGACCCAAAATGGTTCCTGTTGAATTTTCAAACAGCTGTTATTTGTTGAAAAGTTTCACGGAACTTAAAGCATGTAAAATTTGTTTTATTATTGCTAGTTACTGTTTAAAGGTGTTACCAAGGTAAAAAGAACCACAAATAAATAATGCGTACTGGTGATACTAAAATGTTACAGAGTTGCCACGACTTTTAAAAAAAGGTGACAACTCTGGCTTTTCAGCAATTCAACAAAATTTTCAGCAGCCCCGAGGCTGATGAATTGCTGAAATTTCTGAAAGTTGACTTTGTATGGAACAGCTGATTAACAGCTGACCAAAATTCAACAATTCAGCAATTCAACAGTTTAGGGAATCCCCCTTATGTTTTGAAAGGGTCTAATAAATAAAAATGCGTATTTTCAGAAATTACTAATGTTCAAAGCTATTTTTTAATTTAATTTTTTAATAATTTTCTTTATTGTAAGACATATTAAAGTCTTCTTATAAGCGAGATATTATAATTTTATTCATTTGACAATAATGAAATGGTTAAATAGATAAATTGAAAGTGAAAACAATTTTGAATCATTTTTTAAAACCATAATATTTCAGAAACACAAGAATGTTCCAACTCATTACATTTTGTTTGATATTGAATCGGAAACGAGTAGAACCGGCACAATTACTTTCGGTTGCCTATCGACTTTCGATTTGTTAATGAAGTGACTCTGAAATGCACGAGGATCAAGATTTTGTTGATGTCATGATTTTAATTTATGCTTTTAAACAAAATAATGCTAGAAGTAAACCCAGAGAACCCAGCTTTATAAAAAGTATCCCAACCCGGATGTGTGGCAACAAATCCTGCTGGAAATCTAAGCCTCGTGGAAGTCCTAAAAGATCTGCCAGAAACCAAGTAAGTACCATTGAACAATGCAACATATGTATACAAATATGTAAATACTTAAGTACATATATTTACAAAGTTATTTTAAAGAGAATACTCGTATTTCGACTAGATTTTTAAGAACTTCGGATTGCAACCATCAATGAAAGGCTCTAACATCCTTCGCACTCTGGATAGATTTAACATCTAACACAAATTGGATATTTATGCTGGGACAATAAGATTTTTACCATTTCGAGGAAGTATGGAAATATTAAAGCGTTTTTAAATGGAGTACACCTTAAATTGACCGGAACACCCGCTTGATAAAGAAAGCCTTCACTTTGCATAAGACAATGTTGTATTTATGCGTGCAGGAAGAGGTATGTAAATTAAAACATTCTATCTAATTAACACCATGTTCTAGCAGTCAGACTATGAATTTTCATATAGTTCTTGTTTAATGTAAGAATTGTAACATACCGTACAATGCAGTAACTTAAATATTATGATTCAGGAATTTTTTCAAAACATTAGAACACATCTGTGTGACAGCCATACCAAATTATATTTGCGGATTATATTTAAATGTAATGATGTCTTAATTTTAAATTTAAAATATTATTCGAATATCATTCAAGAAAGGGGCTTAGGTTTTTTTTTTAAATTGGTTTAATAACGGGACAATTTGTACTGTCCTTTTTTCTATTTTAAAGTTTTTTAAGGATTTTAAAAACGATAATTAAACCCAGGACTCTAAAAGACAGTAAATGTATGTTTGTAATTATAATTATTTATAATTTTATCTAAACAGTTTACTGTTTGAAAATATATATATTAATATTATTATTAAAACATTCGCTCTCCTAGTGTATTTCGAAATTCTGTTTCCAAGTCTAGCTTTTCTTTCTTGTAAGACATAACAAACTGCATTCCGCGCCGTATCGACCGATAGCCCCGCTCTTCCTTCCTTCGGATGTGTATTTTACCAGGTATGTGGATGTGGATGGTAACGAGAGCGAAGTATTCCAACTAGGGTTGAAGTCAAACATATGTAAGGATGATTGACAGCTAATGGAAACAAAAGCAATTCGAATACGTGTGTGCATGTGTAAGATGCAAATGATTTGCAAAACAAGGTAGGAAGGCAAGTTAACCATTGCAGACCTATTTTCGACCTGTAATCGAATTAATCGAGGTCTATTTATGTATTTACAACCTGTAGTTTGTTTTCGAGCTATAATTATCTAAGGAAGCAAACAATAGATTAGATGTTAGATGCCGTAGTATTACCAAGTGGCAGTAAAAGCAGAGAGATTTTGCTTCACGACTGAAACAATTATTTTTGTTTTTACTCCTCCCTTTGACGGCAACCTAAATAATAGACCTTTACGGAACCATATATCTGAATGTGACAAACCGACCTCGTAATTTCGTTCATAAAACAAATATTAAATACGGTGTGGGCAGTTCTTTATTGACTTTAGAGATCTTCTAAATTCAACTGGTTACAATACAGTTTTTTGTTTAAATAAATCGAGTACACAAGTAAATAACATAAAATTATAATAATAGGACCACTAATGAGTATTTGTTTTAGTTACATGTATGTAGCAATATTTAACTCTAGGGATAACTATAACTTTTAGAATCAAAAGACCGGCAATGGGTCGTTATGAAAGAGCGGCGGTGTTTTCTGATAGCAAGGTATATTGCCATATTGGCTGTTGTACAGGAAACTCGGGAAGTACAAGTGATACTGCGCGGCGAGTTCGTTGAAATTAAATGGCAAATTGAACGGCGGCTTTTTCAACGCGGCAACTTCGGCAACGTCGGGACTTCCGTAATCCATGTGCACTAGTCCCTCACTTGCCGAATTTTTGGGATCCGGAGCAATGAGACTCTCGATGGTAAAGGCTCGCTTCGGACGCACCGGAAGTTGAGTTATAGTCGATGGAATGATTGGCGGAATACCCTTATAGGGTGACATTTGAGCAGCAGCGGCAGTTGCATTCCCGAGATCATAGTTGCTGGCGGCCATCTGAACACCATTTCGCGTCGGATCGGCAAAGGCCATCTGCGTTAGCTGGTCGTCCAGGTAGTGGGATACCATCTCTGTATTGGCGGCGGCAAATTTCCAATTCGATATATCCTTTTCCAACTGCTTGACGCGGAAGCGCTTCCGTCTCCTCAGCAGACTGCCGTTTTCGAACATATCGAAGGCCATCGGATGGAGGGTCCAGTAGGATCCTTTGCCCGCCTTCGTCACATTCCTTGGAACTTTGATGAAACAATCGTTGAAACTCAGATTATGCCGCAATGAGTTTTGCCATTTTTGCGTGTTTTTCCGGTAATAGGGGAACTGCTCCATAATAAATCGATATATCTCACTGAGCGGCAGCAATCGTTGCGGCGAATGTATAATGGCCATGGCCGTTAATGATATGTACGAGTATGGGGGCTTCTGATCACCGTAGGTCATTTTCAATGGGCGTGGCATTGCGAAGTCGTTTAAAATTTCACACAGTCAGTTGTCCGTTTTCCGCTGTCCGCTGTCCGTTGTCCGCACACAATTCCAGTTTACAATTCTCTGTTTAGAGCGATGTTTTCTCGGCGGCAGCAGTGTTAAGACTAATACGAGGGGCAGCAAAACTTCATGTTTTATGGAACTGGCAGCTCGAAAAGAGCGAGACCGGATCGGAGAGTTGGCTCTCGCATACATACCCAGTAACCACCCGGTGGTATATCCAGTATTCCGAGGGAGAAGGCAGCTCAGGCATTGTTTCCCAAAAACAGGTATCTGTAGATCTGGTCGTCCTTGTCTGAATTGTGTGCCAATGGGAAGCGAAGGTGTTGTTTACGGCGAATTTCCGAATGGGCTGCTCAGGGAGTTTTAACCAATCATCGGGGCCGCGATTACCCATACAATATATGTTGGCTCAACACCGGGAGCGTGGCGGAAAAGCGTTTTTACCCAGCGACAAGGCAACGCGGCAAACGAGGCCCCATTTTTTCCCTTCGCCATTTTCAATTTCCAAAAGGAGAGATAGTGCATGCGTGCTGTAAAAGCACAATCCAACGGGGAAAGCCCTTGATTTGCAAGCTTTTGTCAATACCTGTTTATTTTAAATGAATTGTGGGCGTGCCAGAACATGAAATAATAAAGGAAACGCTCGTATTTCACTTCCCATCGCATTACTTGCCTTCATAAAATGATTTAAATTGTTTTGGCTTTTGCATGAAATTGAAAAATAAATTATAAGCACCGCCGTATTTGCTTTATGGTAGATGTACGTTGACCAGCTTTAGCTAAGCATATCGGTACAAATAAATTAAGGTGCATTAGGAAATTATAGTTCAAGTAGAGATACCTTAATTTTTTACATTTTATATCTCAAGATAGCAGCAAAAAAATGTCTATCAAATGGGTAATTTTAAAAATATTGAGCTTAGCTTTTAAGTTACTCCGAAAACTTCAAAAAAGGTGAAAAAGGTTAAAGGTTTTTATTAAATCCATAGATTGGATAATGTACATATGATATACTCGTTATGTAATTATAATCACTCGTCCACATTTTGGTTTTAAATTTACTTATTAAATTAACAAAAGCATTCTGAAACTTTTTTATAAATAAAATTTGTTTTCCATTATATAAATTGTTAAAAGATTATAGCTTATTGCAATAAAGCGCTGCTAAATAAGTGCTTGCACTTCCGGGAAGGTGATAAGATAATTTTTAAAATATTTTAATCGTACCTAATATATTATTAAAATGGTCCTCAAACATTAAATTGTCGACTTGACGCATTGAATATTTACTTTCAAAACATCAACATACACACAGTTTTATTACTAATTAGTTACCAAAGCGAAAACCAAATACACTATTTGTAACTCGTAATCGTAAAATTAACATTTTTTAGAGTGGACAAAATCCAAATACCCTCTGCGATTCCAAAACATTAAAATATATTTTTTAGCATCAGTCTATATTTCTATTTCCGTAAGATTAATTGTATAATTACCATCAGTAGTTCAACATAGGATTTCATCTGAAAAGGAGGAGAAGTTAAACAACAAATAATATTTAATATTATTACTAATAATTTTTGAGTGTCATTGACCAACAAAAAAGTGGTTATAATACCTATAACATATAATGTTTGGGTGCCAACAAAATTCTTTGATAACACAGGTACACAGCCAAAAATTACCACGAACCATTTCAAGTTTTCCATGATATTTGGGTGCTCCTGAGTAAAAGTCCCATACAAAATTATTTTCCATCACCTACAGGTTCCGCGGTATAGCTAAGAATACAAAAAACCGATGTTTGCCGACATTTTGAATTACGTGGCCTATATAATTGGACCAATCTTTATTATTTTCGGTAGGACCTACTCTCAATACATCAAGGCATTCCTAAAAAATAGTCCCCATTGTGAACCATTGCCCATGTCTTTGGAATTCGACGCCAAAGTTGAAAATCCCAAAATTGTAGAGATTTTTCTGATGGAAAAACAATTCTGAGGATTTAATCTTGAATGGAAGTAATTTTAACTATTCATTGTATCTATTGTTCATTGTAAGCTTTAATTTCGGTTTAAAGCGATTTCATGAGAATATTTTTTATTGGATTTATTATACTAATAAAACCGTTTTTTTTATTTCATTATCTACTCCTAAATGTTGTCAAATTTTAAAAAAGTCAAGGCATCCTACAGAATGGGAGTAAACATTTACATTTCTCTGTGTATGTTCAGTGAACGTATTTTAGTTTCTTAGTTCTAGAGGTTGCCATGACTTATTCAAAATTTGACAACATTTAGGAGTAGATAATGAAATAAAAAAATCGGTTTTATTAGTATAAGAAATCCAATAAAATGTTCTCATGAAAACGCTTTAAACCGAAATTAAAGCATACAATGAACAATAGATACAATGAATAGTCAAAATTACTTCCATTCAAGATTTAATCCTCAGAATTGTTTTTTCATCAGAAAAATCTCTACAATTTTGGTATTTTCAACTTTGGCGTCGAATTCCAAAGACATGGGCAATGGTTCACAATGGGGACTATTTTTTAGGAATGCCTTGATGTATTGAGAGTAGGTCCTACCGAAAATAATAAAGGTTGGTCCAATTATATAGGCCACGTAATTCAAAATGTCGGCAAACATCGGTTTTTTGTATTCTTAACTATACCGCGGAACCTGTAGGTGATGGAAAATAATTTTGTATGGGACTTTTACTCAGGAGCACCCAAATATCATGGAAAACTTGAAATGGTTCGTGGAAATTTTACAAAGTTTAATTTTGTGTTCCTGTGTAATATAAAGTTTGGGTGTGCCATTATTAGTTATATAATTACAACTTTTTTATTGGTTATCTTTCGGAAACAAACAACTCGAAAAAAGTTTCGTCTTAACTAACGAGTGTTCAATTTAAACTTAAATCATTGTTAAATTTAAAGTTATTTCTTAAATTGGGTAGGAAGATATTAAGTTAATGTCGATCTCATCTAATCACAACAGTATTTACATTTTAAAATATTAATTTTTTTTAAATTGTTTTTTTGAAATCACATTCTGGTATGTTGAATATCATTTACATTTATTTAAGTAACAAACAAAAGAAAATCTAATAGTGATAAGCAAAGACCACAAGAAAAATGACACAATAAGAAAATGACTTACAAGTAACGCGCTACTAACTCTAAGATCCCGACAGACTGCTAACGAGATAATAGAGGTGTGTGCATAGAATAGAAGGAGGTCTTTCTTTCTTTTTCTTTTGTTGAGTATTATGAGCTTAGTCAGTGTCTTGTTTTCTAGATTGACAGCAGCGTTTAAATATACATGGTAATTAAAAAAAATGTAGTGCTTAGATTTAATAAACAATTTTTAGGTGTCAAAATAATTTTTAGTGTGTATTAATTGGATGTCGGATAATAAGTGAAATTGTTTGCCATTTCTAGTAATGATATTTAATATAAATATAAATAATATATAAATACCCACTTACAATATTTTTTATACAACCCAAAATGCATTGAAACTACTTTTTGGTCCTCAAGGTGTTGCTCTATTTTGAATACAAGATATTAACAACACCACACCGTAAATCCAGCTTGAGAAAACTAAAATGCACTAATTAAATACAATTATTTAATTACCTTGTTTTTTGTTAAAGGGTAGAAAAAGATGAAAAAACTAGCTGGAGTTATACAAAATGCTGACTTCAAACGGCAGTGAAACAGTTGACAACACATTAAGGAACAGCAAACATAATTCCAAAAAACAAAAAAACAACCAAAAAATTTAAGTGCTAATAATGTATAATAACTTTTTATTGATCTTCATTATGATGCAGTGGTCATTTGAAGTAAACACGATCCTTGTGGTCTTTTTAGTGTCAAAGATGCCAGCATTCAAGCCGACAGCAGATGGCCAAGATCGGCTGTTAAAGCTGAGTGAAAAAATGTTCTCTGCCATCAACGCAAAGTTGTTGAAATCGTTGTATGTGTAAAACCCTTCAGTCAAACCAACTACTCAGTAATCACCAATCGATAAGTTTTTCTCCTCTTTTTCCTGTCGACTCTTTTTTAGCACACCGAAACTCGCAGCGCTAAGATGAAAGCTGTTCGACCCATAAACTAAATCAATTTAGTTATTTCCGTCCTACGGCTGCTCGCCTTGTTAATGAAGATTAGCGTTGAGGAAGATGATCATCCGGGCATCGTAGCGAGTCGAATATAATACGATTTTAGGACCTTAAGCAACACTTGAAATGAAATATTCGATGATGGTAAGCAAGTAAGGGCGAATAATTCCCAAATACCAAATATTTCAAAGGTTCAAATAACATATTTAGCAATATTATATCGATTTAAAACACTGCACGGGTGTTGTTCCAAAAAAAGTTCGGAGCGAAGACAAGATCTCTGTTGGTGTCGGGATAATAACCGTCAGTATTTATTTTTCCTATGTGTTGGGATTTTGTCTGCTTTGTATTGCTTTATACTCGTAAGAAATAAATGTTTGAACACAACAGGCCGCCAATTTATTGAAGGCTAACACACTAATTTGAGGAGTTGAGTTGTGTTTACCCCGAGGATGTATGCTTGTATGCCGTATGTACGTATATCCGAGTGAATCTTCCCGACAAAGCTTAAGTGCAGTGTTCATGCTTCTACCTGCAATATAAGAAAGCTAAAGAATCCTGCCCGGTTGGAATTTTGCTGCCACGAAGTGTAGCCAGAGTTTTTATTGCGGCTAATTTATTTTATTGGCCAAATGCATATTTTATGCTGACACTATAATAAGCTAGATTATATTTTTCGGTATTTACGAAACCACTTTATTAGCGAAGTAAAATATTTTTCTCTCTTACTCTAAAACCAAAATGAGTTTATTTCACAAATAATAATATTTTAGAAATCTATTTAAACTACGAAAATATATTTTTGTATTATTTTTATAATTTTAGTTCCTTTTATTAAAATATGTAAAAAACTATATTTTTGTTGCTTAATTCATTTTTAAAAATTTTAATTTATTTATACCCTTTTTAATATAAAAAAAAGAATTAAGTTGGTCAACATAATGT